GCACATGGGATTCCATGGACTGAACATGTGCACTGGTGTCAGCAGCCATCCAGCAGCATGGAATTTCATTGTCCAGAAGGAATGTCTCACTTGGCTCCTACCCTCACAGAGGCACTGTGATTAGGTCTCATTAGAAAGATTATTAACAATCTCCAAAGACACTTTCAAAACACTGGGAAATCTCTGCTAATTGAAACTAAATGACAGCTGTCCAACTGCATTTTACCCTGCATTATCCCTGGGACAGGATTAGGTTTCTTTGTTCACTGCAGAATGTTTAAATATCAGTTATTTGCAGTGAGGTCTCTGCCCCATGGCACCTGCCCAGGAGGACAGAGCTCTGGTGCTCCTGCAGCCCATTCCCAACATTCCAGCTGGCTCCAGGCCCAGCTCACAGATGGGGCAAACTGAGACAGGGGAAGAATTCCCTGTGCTCAGGCCAAAGCAGGGAGCTGAATTTGGGAGCTTCTGCCCAAGAAGCAGCAAACACACCTACCCCAGGTGCCAACAGCATTGTCCACACCCGATGGATTGCCATGGATCACCCGCTCCCCTCGGAAGGCCCAGCTGTTAATCAGAGTCAGCTCTTCTTCTGTCCACCTGGAAGACAAGGAAATAACTCCAACACAAACCACTCCAAACCAGTGCATAGAGAGGGTTCAGGGGCAAGATCCCAGCCCTGGTCTGGTGTTGATCAGATTTAATGGAATTCAAGTCCAGACTCATCCCCACCTCACCAAACAGGGTGTGTTACCACACACACTGGAAAGGCTGAGGGAGTTGGGATTGTTCAGCCTGGAGAGGAGAAGCTTTGGGGTCACCTAATTCCAGTGCCTGAAGGGGCTACACGAAAGATGGAGAGAGGCTATTTACAACGGCCTGGAATGATAGGACAATGGGGAATGGCCTTAAGTTGACAGAGATCAACAGGTTTAGATTGGATACTAGGGAAAAATTCTTCCCTAGTGAGGGTGGTGGGGCCCTCGTTGGGCAGGGATATCTTCCACTGTCCCAGGTTGCTCCAAGTCCCATCCAACCTGGCCTTGGACACTTCCAGGGATGGGGCAGCCCCAGCTTCCCTGGGCAGCCTGTGCCAGAGCCTCACCACTCTCACAGGGAGGAATTCCCAGTATTCCATCTAATCCTGCTCTCGGTCTGAGCACAAAAACACACCTCTGACCCTCCCAGCACACCACAAGTGCATTCAACAGGTATTCCATGCTGAGACACTGGCACAAATCCACGTTTTGGGAAAGCCTCACAGCATCTTGCAAGGCAAGGCAGAAATTCCATGAGCCACCTGCTATCTAGAAACCATTCCCCTTCACTCCTGCTTCCCTGGGCTTTGGCTGAATGTCCTTATCCTTGTCCACACACCTCGCATTCCACCTGCCAGGATTTAATCTGGGAACACTCAGCAAACAGCTCACACCAGCAGCTTCAGGAACAGGAGTAAATCACTTGTTTTTAATCCTCTTTGAGAGGCTGCGATTCCTCCCGACACAGGAGCCTTTCTATCCCGCTGTTCTTTTCTTGCAAAAAAAAAGCAAAACCCTTCTGAAGTCTGACACTCCCAGCTCTCTGCATGCCAGCTGGAAGGCAGGAATTATGCTGGATCCATGCTGAAGCCACGGAGGGCGATCAGGGAATGAAGACATCCTCACTGCACCACTCAGAGCTGCCCTTTTATTTCCCAATTTGGGAGATTTGCTCAAGCACAAAGTGCTCCCAACAAGAACCTGTTTCTAGGTCAGACTGCAAATTCTGGTTCAGAAGCAGAACACAGAACCACCCCCCTTGATGTCTTGCTCTCAGCCCCACAAAAAATCCCACACAATAGAGGGTCTGCCCCTCCAGCTTTGATTTTTAACAGCTTCAAACAGAGCTCCCTCTCACAGGGGCACAGCACTCCAGGCTTCCAAAGGGGAGCTCCAAGGGCAGAAGGAAAGAAACTCTCTTTCATCAGGTACTGATAAAAGGGAAAGACAGGCAGGAGATCAGGAGGAAATGTAGCACATGCAGAAAAGAATTCATGGGAAATGCAAAAAGAAATCCCAGAAAGGATCCTCGAGGACTCAAAGCAAAACCTGGAAGATGCTCAGAGCCAGAGGAGACCGAGTTTGAAAAATTTCAGTGTGTTTTATTTGACTGGAAAAAATAAAGCCTTTTCCCCCCTTTTCAGGTATGTTTATCTGACCCTAAACAAGGGAAACGGGGAGTTTTACAAAGTCTGGGAGAGGGCTGGGAACTCTGGGCATGGACAGGAGATGGGCTCTCGGTGTCAGTTGTGGTGACAGCCAAGAGAAACCAGCAGAGGTGGCAGTGCCAGAATTCCTGCAGGTAAAAGGAAAGGTGGGGCACAGGGAGCAGAGCTGTGCATCCCAGGCTGGAATTCCTTACCTGGCTGTGGATTCTCCCTCCTGCAGTGGGCAGGAGATGGCTCCACACACCATGAGCAGGGCTGCAGCCAGGCACACAGCATAGGCAGCACTGGATCCCAGCCCTGCTCCCGTGGGCAGCTCCGACCACACCACGATCTCCACGCTGGGAACATCCCTGGTAAAACAGACAGGGACTGACACAAGCACCCTGAATTCCATCTCCAGCCAACGTTTAAAAGGCAAAGGAGGCCAGTTAGGACTGATCAAAGGGAAAGCTGATTGAGAACTTGCAACATCAGCACATGCATCTGACACTCTGGGGCTTCAGGAGGGCTCATTCCTGAATGGAGCAGCCTTGGCCAAGCCATTGTGCTGGAATAAAGCCCTCCTGAGTGGATCCATGATTGGCACAGCTTGTCAGGCTGCTAGCAGGGGCAGTTTGTAACCAAATACCTGAGCAGCACCATAAAGAGCCCCTTCAGAGGTTGCTGTAAACAGGATTGCAAACACATTTCTGAATAAAGTGTAAACATCCCAAATGTGTATTTGCACAGCCACATCCCACTGGAGCAAGAGGCTGGTGGGGAAGATGGAACATGGACATATCCATGTCCCTTTGCTCCACTGAACACACCTGGGTTGTGTTACAGACCCCAGAATCAAACCCAGGAGGTTTTCAGGGTTGCTGAGTGACAGCCCCAGTGCCACCCTAAGAGTGCAAGGAAACCACAACCCAGTTCTTTATCCTTGGATTTCCTGGATGAGAATAGGGAAGTTGGGCTCTGCTGTGGTTTCTGACACTGCCCTGAGCACCCATCCAGTCACACCAAGATCATTGACAGTGCTGGGGCAAGGCTGAGAACTGGAATAGCCCCAAGTTCCCAGAGTTTTTTTAGGCAGATTCAGCCCATAAAGAGATCAGACTCAGTTCAGACAATAAATTCACAGTTTATTTCTGTTTTTCCAGCCTAAGCCAGGATGACAGGAGCTGCCTGCTGGAGGGAGGGGTGTGTGTGTTGCGACTGTGGCATGAACTGCTCTGGTTTCAGCCCTCAAAACTAAGTGAGAGCAGAGACTCCCAGCTCACCTGCCTGAAGCAGCCACCCACCACCAAAATTTTGGGGCAGGAGTGGAGCCTTACCCATACTTAGCAGAAATAGCCAGGCACATATACAGGAAGGCAAGAGTAGCAAGACTTTCTGGAGCTGAAGCCCCAGCAGCAATTCCAGCAAACTCCCTCAGTGCATCCAGCTGTTCTACACTGGGGGACTTGGACTCATCTTCATCAGCTATGGAAGCAAGCAGGGGAGAGTTTAAACACTTAAAAACCAGGGAATTGTTACACTGAGAGCAGTATTTGCAACAAAACCTTCTGTTACAGCAGGCAGAAACAGCTGGGGCCAATTTCAGGTTCTACCTGAGGATCTGTGATAAAATAAAAGCAAAATCTCCACCAGGCACTCTGAAATCCCAGGGTTTCCACACTCCACATTTCCTGCCTACACCTCCCAGTGCATCCATCCATACTCACTATGGAAAACACAGCAAGTCACAAACTCTTCATTAAAGAATGGGGATTTTGGAACTGGGATATCCTGGGGCTCCAGCCAGTACAAGGTGCTGCAGAAATTCCCATGAGGGCTGGTGTGGGACAGACAGGCAGGAAAACAGGCTCAGGCTGACTCCTGCCTGTGTCACAACATTGCCTGAGCCACAACAGCACCAGAACAAGTCCCTGGAACCCAAACCAGGAGGGGACAGGGCCACCTGAGCATCAGCAGGGTCACAAGGGGAATGTAAGTAACTGAGAGGAGCAGGGACAGGTCAGTGAGTGGGGTCAGAGACAGGGGGGACAAATAACCCCACGGGGGTCCCTGCAGAGTCACCCCACGGGGGTTCTGCGAGGTCACCTCATGGCGGGAGTCCCAGCACGGTCACCGGGGTGCAGCGGGCACCGAACGGTCCCGAGAGCCCCTCAGTGCCCCGGGGCAGCGCCTCCTTCCTTTCCCCGGGCCTTGCCTGCGATCCGCCCGCGCAGGGCCCGCAGCCCGGGGCTGTCCCAGCTCCTCCGGACGCCGACGCCGGGCAGGGAGACGCTGAGCCGGCCCTCAGCGCCGGGCCGCAGGCGGAGAAACGTCCGCAGGTCCAGCGCCACGGCCAGGGCCACCTGCGGGCGGAGAACGGGGCTCAGCGAGGCCGCACCGAGCTGGGCGGCCCTCACGGTGCCCGCCGTGCCCTCACCGAGCTGGGCAGCCCTCGCCGTGCCCTCACCGATCTGGGCAGCCCTCACGGTGCCCGCCGTGCCCTCACCTTGCCCAGCACCACCGCGTGCTCCCCGTGTAGGATCACTTTGCCCGGCGCCGACACCGCCAGCTCCCGCCGCCACATCGCCGCCGCCGCCTCACGGCCCACGCCGACTGACAGCCCCACCCACCAATCGCAGCCGCGCCCTTGTCCCGCCTCCCTGCGCTCAGCCAATAGCAGGGCGCGCTGAGAGGGCGGGACTTGCGGGCGGCCAATGGGAAGGGGGCGTGGCGGGGTGGCGCGGCGCTGGGGTGACGGCGTGGGCTGAGGGCGGGACGGTGACGGCGGCCGGGAGGGATGTGGCGGCGGGCGGCGGCGGCGGGACGGGGACTGCGGGGCATGGCGGGGCGGGCAGGTGAGCGTGGGAGGGCCGGGACTGCCTCTCGGTGTCGTTCCGTCCCTCACGGTGTGCTTCTTCCCCTCACAGCGCCCCCCGCCCCCACGGTGTCCCCTCACGGTTTGTGCCTCCACAGCCCCGAGCGCGCCGCTGCCGAGCGGGCCCCGAGGATCTACACGAGGACGGGAGACTCAGGTAGAGCCCGGGGGACACCGGGGAGCCGCGGGCAGAGCTGCCCAGCCCAGCCCTGAGCGCCTTCCCCCTTTCCCAAAGGATTCTCCAGCACCTTCACCGGGGAGCGGCGGCCCAAGGGCGACCGCATCTTCGAGGCCCTGGGAGCCACGGACGAGCTGAGCTCGGCCATCGGGTAAGGACCGGCTGGGAGCATCCAAACCACATGGAAAAGCGTGGTTGTTGTGATTTCTTCATTCCCAGCTAACTCTTGTTTTGTTTTTTTCACTCTAACCAAGGCTGGCTGGTGAGTTTAGCAGTGAAAAGGGCCACACGTTTGTTGATCAACTTCATAAAGTGAGTATTAAGGATAATCTTCATCCAGTGCTATAAAAACATGCACTCCTTAATTTTAACCACAGTGCTCCCACTGACACACAGGAATTGAATACATTTAGGATTTCAATATATAAATCTTTAAGACTCCCTTGATTGCTCTCTAAGAGGCAAATTTATTTAACCAAGAAGGAAGCTGATAGATCAAATTATTAGTTATGGGCAGACAGATTAATCTCTAGATTTATCCCAAGTGAGGTCCACATTGTGAACATGAGTTTTGTCGTAACAGAACTCCATGTTTGAAACTGGGACACAAACCAAGCATAAGGGCAGAGCAGTGACACAGGTCCTGCCTGGGCAGCCTGTGAGTTTGCCAGGCAAACTGAGCACAGGAATGCAAAAAGCCACGGCTGGGAGTGACAGCAGCTGTGATTTTTGTCCAGGTGCAGTGCATGCTGCAGGATGTGGGCTCCAACCTCGCCACGCCGCTCTCCTCGGCCAGGGAGGCTCACCGGAGTAAGTCCTGCCTTTTCTGGAGTGGCAGGGCTTGGGCACAGCCTGGCGTGGGTGGTTGGGATGCTGAGGGATGGATTTGGTTTCTTAGGACTTGCTGATCCAAGAAAGCAAAATCAGAGTATGTGACATTCACATTCTCTGGACAGAGAGACATAATTCTGTCTCTCAGGGGTAGTAGCGCTGAGAGAAGAAAATCTTTATCTCTGCTCCTTTGTTTTCCCTATGTGGGATGTGGTGTGGAGATTGTTTACCTGCAGTGATTGCTGGGTTGGGTTCTGGTGAAGGTTGTTTGGGGTCAGTGACCAGTGGATCCAGCTGTGGCTTGGGTTCTCAGCACAGAGTCACAAGCTTGTAGTTAGTTAGATAGGTAAATAAGTATGTAGAATACTATAATTTTAATAAAGCTGTCCTTCAGCCTTCTGATCTGAAGCCAGACATCATAATTTTCTTCCCTGAGTCGGGGATCACCACATTTTTCACTATACTAGTTCAGTTTTTTGTCTGAATCACTTTTTTTCAGCTGATTCTTCTTTTCCCTCTGTAGAACGAACGTCGTTCAGTGAGAAGCCCGTCCTGGAGCTGGAGCAGTGGATTGACAGTTACTCAGAGCAGCTCCCTCCCCTCAGAGCCTTCATCCTGCCCGTAGGTGCTGCCTGTGCCCCTCACTTCCTTGGGGTAGCCCTGCTCCACTGCTCACCATGGGAAAACAGCCTGGGAGGCTGCTATTTCCATAGGCAAGCACTGAGAGAAAAGCAGAGACGAGGAGCTGGGAGTTACTTCTGCCCACCCTGCTGCACTGGGATGTCCCTCCCTTGCCTGGCCATGGCACAGGGATCAGCTCCATGTGTGTGGGAGGGGAGGGGGAGCTGTCCCTGCTGGTGCAGACACTGAGTGGTGTTCCCTTGCTGTTCCAGTCTGGAGGCAGGAGCAGTGCTGCTCTCCACTTTTCCCGAGCCGTGTGCCGCAGGGCTGAGAGGTGGTGAGTGCTGTGCTGGGATCACCCTGAGGAAAGGGGATGGGGACACCCCAGTGATACAAACCAGGGCTGGGCTGGGGGCTCAAGCCAAGCTTTTGTGTGTTTAGTCCAATTCCAGCCAGGCTCTCTTCCTTCCCCTTAGCTGGGTCATCCAACCTAAACCTTTTGGGATTCTGCAGCCCCATCCAAACGGGCCTTGGAGACTTCTGGGGATGAGATATCCACAGCTTCTCTGGGCAGCCTTGCCAGGGCCTCACCACCCTCACAGGGAAGAATTTCTTCCCGATATCCCATTTAACCCTGCCCTCTGGCAGTGGGAATCCATTCCCTCTGTCCTGTCACTCCAGGCCCTTGTAAATAAAATAGTCTCTCTGTTCAGTGATATCCCAGACACAAACATTTCTGGCATCATTTACCCTGCCCAGATCCCTCTGGGAAGCAAAAGTCCTTCATTTCTGCAGGAGTCAAACTGGGGACCCCAGGAGAGGTTTGGGATGGGAGGAGGCTCCAGCCTTTGTGCACTCAGAGCTGGAAAATTAAACACCAGCATTTCCCTTTGCTTTTCCCAGTGTGGTCCCTTTAGTCCAAGCAGGGGAAGCAGATCCAAACGTGGCCAAGTATTTAAACAGGTAAAAAAATAAAACCCCAACCTGTTGCCCTGTCCTACTGAAGCATTCCCTTAGTCCTGGGAATAAAACTGGGGGGTTTTGCTTCTCAACAAGCTTCTCTTCTGGATAAGATCCCTGGTTTTCCTGCTTTTCCCTTGCTTTCCAGGCTCAGTGATTATCTCTTTGTCCTGGCACGTTATGCTGCAATGAAGGAAGGGAAGGAAGAGAAAATCTACATAAAACCTGAGCCCTAGCTGGAGCTGGAATGTCTTTTCCTTTATTATGGAAAACTAAATCCAGTTGACTGCTTTTGTCAATCAAGGAAGGGAGAGAGAGCAAGCCTGGAGTGGAAATGGGAGCTGCCAAGGATTTCCATGTGACATAACCAGGAACTTGTTGATAAATCCTGAGAAGAACAGAATCACAGAATACCTGAGTTGGAAGGGACTCAGACACATCTGTCCTATCCCTGGGCCTGGCCCACACATCCCATTTGAGGATGGCTCTGGAGTCACTGCTTCTCCCAGGTGGGAGTGAGGCAGGAGAATTCCTTAACATTTTGGAGATGCCTTCATTTCCCTGGGCAGCAGCAGGTGCTGTGGGAAGGCTCTGACAGGACTCTGAGGGATGATGAAGGGAAAACAATCAGCTCCTCCTTTGAAGGCACAGCGCTCGTGTGGAGCAGCAGCTGGAGGCCTTTGGGAATTGTGTCCACAGCTCTGGAATAATAAATGTGAATTTCCTTGTACCAAAGGGCCACAAACTGTCACGTTTTAACACCGAGCCCTGTGTGCTTTGCTGCTCCAAGTCCCTTCCAATCCATCAGCTCTGGCTGGAGCTGAGCTGTACAGATTTACAGGAATGCACCAAGAATTCCTTGGCTCTGGCTGCCTCTTGTTGTGCATGTGAGGAATGTCTCTGTGCTGACAATCCTGTGCATCCTCTGCCAGGAACGAGGCTCACAGAATGGAGGGGGTGAAGCAGGAAAGGCCAAATCCCAGGGTCTGCGTGCTGGGGTTGTCTCCACATGGAGCTGTCCCTTGGAATGGTGGGACCAGCTGCAGGAACAGCTGGAGGAGCAGAGCCCAGGGTTTGGGAGCACCCAGGGCACTGAGGCTGCAGGAAAAGGGGTTGGGGTGAGGAGCTGGGTGAGAGGGGCAGCACCCCGAGGGTTCCTCCCAGGGTGTCTGTGCTGACCCTGGAACATTGCTGGAGGGAGCTCACACATCACACACACAGTTCCAGCTTTGCACTCATGTCCAAACTGCTTCCAGCTTGGAAATACTACTGGGAAGAGCCCATGGGAAGCCTGCTGGTGTAATTTTTCCCCCTGGGAATGGTGTGGGCTGCAAGGTGGTGATGCAGCTTTTAAATCCATCCTGCCCCTTCTCCCGTTCAATTATTTGAGTAGAACCAACCTTAAACTTGTTCTCCAAAGAATCTCTGGCTCTGTGTCCCTTTTTTGGCCAGTAAAAAATGCCCAGGAATGAGTGAGGAGTGCCCAGCACTAACAGATCCCCTGGCTCATCACTCACCTGGGTTTGAGGCAGATATTTCATGCCTCTTGTTAATGCACATTTTTCATGGAGTAATTTTCCAAGCCTCAGCCTGGAACACATCCTGGTGACAAATGCTCTGGATTTGGATGGTCCCGTCAGCTGCAGTGTCACCTCAGCCATTCCCTCTGCCTGCTCCTTCCAGTTTTACGAGAGCTCTGGCTCTGAGACTGAACCTCAGGAATCAAGAGGCTTTTCAAGTTTAATTTAATAAAATCCTTTGCAATATAAATTCTTCATGAATGCTCCATAAATCAGCTTGGGGAGGGATTTATAGTATTTCCCTTTTTTTTTTCCAGCTGGGGGGAAGAAATCTCACTACTGTTTGGGGACCTAAGCTGGCATTGTTTGGATTGCAAGGAGAAATAAATCAAGCTACTACATTTAACATGATGGAGAGATTAAATTTACTGGGGTGCTCCCAGCTGCCCCCTCCCTCTCTACCCACAGCAGTTCTTTCTGGAGGGCTGAGGCAGAGGGAGGTGTTGGGGTGACCCTCATGTGTCACTAAGCAGGGCTTGACTTTAGGAGGGAGTTGAGACAAGGCTGCAGCTCAGCAGGGCTGGGCCAGGGCCAGAATATTCTGAGAATTCTCCCCAGAGTTACAGGACAGCCATGGGCTCTTGAGCTGGGGGGCTCACCTGGGGAAAAGGAGGCTCAGGAGGGACCTGCTGGCTCTGCACAAATCCCTGACAGGAGAGGACAGCCTGGAGGGGTCATGCTCTGCTCCCAGGGAACAGGGACAGGAAACTGCATCAAACTGTGCCAGGGGAGGGTCAGGTTGGACACCAGGAGGAATTTCCTCATGGAAAGGGTGGTCAGGGACCGGAAGGGGCTGCCCGGGAAGGCTTGGAGTCCCCATCCCTGGAAGTGTCCAAGGAACGTGTTCCTGTGTCACTCAGTGCTCTGGGCTGGTGACAAGGTGGGGATCGGGCACAAGTTGGACTCGATGGTCTTGGAGGGCTTTTCCAACCTGGATGATCCTGGGATTCTGGGATTCCTCAGGCTCTGGTGCACCCTCCTCACCAGGCTGGAGCAGAGCACCGGGCAGCTGAGCTGGCCCTGCTCCCGACCCCACAAGGTCAGCCAGGCAGCAGTAGCAGAGTGACCAAAACAAAACCCAGCCTCTAAATCCAAATAAACCTCCCTTGCTCTGGGCTGGCAGTTGTTTTTCCAAGCTCTTTGTCTCTTCCCAGCCATACAGCATAGGGATTCCAGTGCCTGCACCTCATTAATATCACGGGGGAAGGCAGATGCTTTGTCCAGGCTGCCCAGCTCCAGCGCCCAGCAACATTCCTGCCTCGCAGGGTGCCTGATCTGGGATTGCTCCAGAGCTGCCAGCACAGCCATATGTTGCTAAGGGTCGTTTATTCTTGTTTGTAAAATGTATGGCTGCTCCCAGCTTCCACACTGTCAAAACGAGAAGAACTGGCCCCAAAATCTCTTGCTGCATGATTGGATCAGATGCCTGTACATCTGTTAACGCTGTAGGAGCTGTAAAATGGAATAAGTTGGGCTATAACTCAAGCACCTCGATTACCACCACGATGTGGGAGCAGCAGAACGGCTGCTGCTCCACCAGCGATGACACAAACATCCATTGTGCCAAGTCAGATGTAAATTTACACAAGGCAGCATTTCCTGGGCCAGGGCTCAGAAGGGAGGAGAGGAATGAGAGCCCCAACCTTGACAGGATGTGCTGGAGCCCCAGCCTGCTGAGTTTTGGGGTGCACAGCCCTGGCAGTGGGGAGCCAAGAGCTCCACTGGAGCTGCAGGAGCAGAGAGGATCACAGGTCCTCCAGCAGGGCAAGTCCTGCGTGCTCCTGAAATCCCCTTTTAGCCTGGAAATGGGCAAGGAAAAACTCCCCAAAGCAGCCCAGGGCAGGAACCATCAGCCCCGTGCCTGACAGGAGCAGGTTGAGTTGCCTGGGACCCTCAGCTCACCCTGTGCTGCAGCCTGGCCCAAAGTGCCCACCCCAGTGCCCACCTCACCCCAGTGCCCCCTCCCCACCTCGGCAGGGCAGGCACAGAGAGGCAGAGCGACACAGGGAGGGCTCAAACCACCCCAGGGGAACTGCAGAGGGTCAGGATTGAAGAACTTGACCTCAGAAACAGCCACAAAAGCAGCTTGTGAGCACCAGTCCAGTGCCACTTACCCAGGTGGTGACACTGCCAAGTGCCACATGGTGTGATCAGTCCAGCACCTGCTGCAGGAGCTGCTGCACCTCTTGGTAAATGGGAGCAAACACAAAAATGAGCTGCAGAGACATCAGGAATGAGCAGACCGGAGCACAGCACAGCCCCCTCTCCATCCTAACCTGGAATCCAGCACAGGGCACAGGTGCATAACAGGGATCAAACAGAGGGAATATCAGCCTGGGTGTGAGCCAGGGGTTTGGGACAGCCTGTAGGAGCAGGAGAGGGGCAGCAGGAGCTGCTGTTTGCCCCTGAACACCCAATGCCTGTAGCAGGTTGGGACACCCAGCTCTGCTCTGTGCCAGCACTGAGCGAACACAAAGCTCCAGGGATCTCTTTCATCCCCGAGGGATCTCTCCCATCCTCCAGGGATTCCCCCACAAGCTCCTCACCCCACAGTGCACAATTTTATGGTCCCAAGGCCTGGGATAGCCATGGCCACATCTCGGTGGCCCCGAGCGATGCGTGCCCACATCCCGGCCAATGCCAGGGAAGCAGGGGCTGTGCAGGCCTGGCTGCTGCCAGCTCTGCCTTGGCAGCAGCTGCTCTGGCCTTGCTTTTTGCAGTTCCTGACAGTGCCAGATGCCTCTGTGTCAAAACAATGGCACTTGCACACTGACTGGGAGCCTCTCCCTCGCTCCCACCGTGCTCCCCTCCCAGCAGAGCCAGAGCGCTGGGAATGGCCGGGGGGCAGGAGAGCTCCAGGCAGGGATGGAGGGGCAGTGAAGGGCTCCAGACCTGGAGCCAGAGGGAAGCTGGAGCAGCAGGCACAGCTCACTCCTCCAAGGAGCTTCCAGCATCAGGCCCAGGCAGAAACACACAGTATTATAATATTAAGATCAAAGCCGATGTCAGCTCCAGCAGCTGCTCCTTGGGGCTGCCCCCATTCCTGCACTGGGGAATCCCACTTGGATTTCCAGCCCATTTCTCTCTCCACCAGTGGTTCCAGTCACCATTCCCAGATGTACCCTGAGCATTGCTGATCCCAGCACCTGCCCCTGCATCTGAGGAGCATCAACACCCTCAGGAAGGACCAAGGTCCCAACACTCTGCAGGACCAGGCAGAGCTTCTGCAACCATGTTCCAACATGAGCAAATCCTGCTTCAAACAATGCTGCCAAGTCACTTTGGGCTCAGCAGGCCTCATATCCCCACCATCTGGAGCACCCCACAGATCCCAGCTCTCAGGGGCACCAGGAACCAGCCTGGCAACAGGAATTCCCATGGGAGCAGCCTGGCAGATTCACGGAATCCCAGACTGGTTTCAGTTGGAAGGAACCTCAGAGCTCATCCCATTCCACCTCCTGCCATGGGCAGGGACACCTTCCACTATCCCAGGTGGCTTCCAAGCTCTGTTCAGCCTGGCCTTGGACATTTCCAGGGATCCAGGGGCAGTCACAGTTGCTCTGGACACCCTGTGCCAGGGCCTGCCCACCCTTGGAATAAAAGCAGGTGCTCTCTGAGAGGTGCCAGGGCCCCAATGCCCAGCTCTGCTCTGCCAGGAGTACCTCACCAGCACATTCCCTGCCCTAGGAAAGGACCAGGAGACACCCAACCATCCAAACTCATCCCAGCTTTATTTTCTCTGCAGGTCAGACACACAGGGATGGAACCAAGGTCTCCAAGACAGCAATTCTTGGATGGAAAAGATCCTTGTGAATCCCCTGTGGCAAAACCATCCCTGGGCAGAAATCACAGAGCAGACAGGGACTGACACAGCCTCCCTGGGACACAGGAATCAGCCCCTCCACAGGAATCCTTGCCTGCATCCACTGGGAATTTCCCAGACATTTATCACATTTTCCACACCAGCTCCAGCACGGGAGCAGTGTCTGTAGTGCAACATCTCCAGGTTTGGAGGGACCAAGCTAAGTCTGCAGTAAGATTTTTTTTCTAGGAATTGTACTCCTGAGGAACAAAGGGAAAAGGGGAGCAAGGATTTGATCTCAGTGTTCAACAACTCATTTCACTGAAGGCTCATTGTGCTCTAGTCAGACACACTGCATTTCCTAGAAGGAAAAAGGAGATTTTGGGTGATACTTAAACTCTGAGAGGTCCAAGGCAGTGCCTAAACCTCCCAACTACACAGTCACCAACTGGTTAATGCCAAAATGTTCTATGTATTAAAACAAACAAACAAAAAAATTACTATCATCTTTCATTTCTGTGACTCACAGCCCAGTGTCCTCAACCCTCTGGATGCAGACATTCCAGTCTGCACCAACACTTCCCATCACTCCTGTTTAATCTCACTGATCTGACAGAGAAGAAGGATCCTGACATTGCTTTCCAGATGCATTTCCAGGCATTGGTTCTAAAAAAAGGGTTATTTCTCTGAAATCCATCTGAAGCACGACAGGAGGAGGATGAAGCCAAGGCCATCTCGCTGCTCGGTGCCGAGGGTTTTCCGACCCCTTGGAAATCTTGTGAAATCCTGTGGCTAAGGGGGCTCTTCCAGAGCCCAGGGTATGGAGCCCTGTGCTCTGCTAGCTCACCCGGGCACAGGGACCCCATGGGATGGACCACGCAGGACAGCAGGAGAGGTGGGATATGGCCAGGGAGGGGAATGAGGATCCCCAGTGCCACAGGGAGGGAAGGAGAGAGAAAAAACCCTGGGCAGAAGCCAGCAGCCTGTGCAGGAGCTTGTTTCAGCAGCGAGGTGAAGGGGAGAAGGTGACTGGCTTTTAACCCTGTCCCCAAGAGGGCAATGCCATGGCTCTGCTCTGTGCCAGAATCCCAGCAGGGCCAGGACAGCCCAGGAGCAGCCCAGTCTCTCCTCTCTGCAGCCTGGGCCAGGGCAGGGCTCGCAGCAGCTCAAGGGACCAAAGATGGGAAGCTGCAGAGACACTTTAGGGGTGTCTCAGAAATGGCAGGAAGGATCCACATCTGTCCAAGTCACCCCCTGCAAAAGCTGCCCGCTCCAGGCAAACACCAACTGACAGAAGTAAGGCCAGAAAGAGACAAAGTGAGCAAAATAAAGAGTTTGGCAACAAAGCAAATGTGGCTCTTACACAGAGAGCCTGCCCTGGGTCCAAACAATTCCCTAAGAAAGGGCCTGCAAGCAAAGGGAAACCTCCATCCTGGAGGGATTTTGCCAGTGGAGGTTTCCAGAGGATTTGACACATTCCCCTGGTTCCAGAGAGGAACCTGCCCCACCTGAGCACTGTGCTGGGGAGCCTGAGTGTGTGCCAGCTCTTGTCCTCTGGAAACCAAGGACAATTAAACCTGTAGTGCTCCTGAGAAATTGAGACATGACTCTTTCTGTCCCAAGGCCTGGGCCTGCCAGGAGCCTGGCAGAGGCACAGCTGGCTGAGCCCACTCCTGCTGCTCCAGCCCTTAACCTCTGGCATTCCAAAGCCTTCCCAAGAGCCACAGGGTCCATCTGCTCCTGCTGAAGCTGCTGCTTCCCTGTGATTCCTTCTCCAAGAGACATCCAGGACCCTGCAGGAACAGGGACACCTGGAATCCTCCTGTCCTGGGAAAGCAGTGCCCATCCAGGCACTTCCAATGCTGACATCTCCTTGTGGGCTCTGCCATCCCTCTGCCTTTGTGCAGCTTCCCAGACTCACTTCCAGCCAGCCCAGCTCCTGGGGAAGGAAAAAGCAGCACTCCCATGGCAGCAGCTGCCCAGCCTGCTGGGGATCTCACTGTCACTAATCCGAGTGGCACTTGGAGCATTCCTTCTGTGCTCCCCCGGGGTTTGCTTTTAAGGATGATTTCCGTGGGTGTCAAGTGAAGGGCTTAAGCTCAGGCCCATCCCCTCCTCCAGCCTGGAGCCGTGCCTAAGAAAAACCAGCTCTGAGCCCAGCAGCTCTTCCCTGGATCCCCGTGAACCTCCACTACCAGCTGCCCCTCCAGGCCTCGAGCGAGCGCTCGGCTCGCGCGCAGCAGCTCCACGTAGGAAGGGCTCCCCCTTCCAGCAGCAGCTCCAAGCCCCATCCCGAGCCCAGGCCGTGCCTAGGACAGCTCGAAGCCGGTGTTCATGCTGATGGCATAGCGCAGCTTCTCCCGCAGGATGCTCTTCTTGCTGTAGTTGGGGAGCTTGAGGAGGTTGAAACACGTGGAGGAGGTCGGGAGGCGCCCGCCCGGCTCCTTCTTGCGGATGGTGAAGAAGCCGCGTAAAACGCTGCCCAGGGTGTCCCCCGTGTCCTGCAAGGGCACAGAGCTGTCACCTCCCTCCCTGCTCCTGGCACAGAGGCACGGGGCAGAGGTGCCAGCACAAACCCGGCTCTGGGAACAGTGAGCTAAAGCCCAAGCTCAGTTTCACACCCCTCTCCAAGGAGCTCTGCTTGTAACTCACTGCCTGATATGGGCAGGGTGTGCAGGGAGATGGGTGGGACACAGGGGGATAACACAACCCTGGGGGAACACAGGGAATCCAGGCGAGAAGAGTCTGGAGCTGCTGTGTGTGTGTGCAGCCATGAGCATCCTATTGGGCTGTTTTTAGGTACAGAATCCTAGAAGGGTTTGGGTTGGAAGGGACCTTAAAGCTCATCCTGTTCCGTCCCCTTGACATGGGCAGGAGACATCTTCCACTATCCCAGGTTGTTCCAAGTCCCATCCAGCCTGGCTTGGACCTTCCAGGGATGTGGCAGCCACAGCTTCTCTGGACACCCTGTGCCAGGGCCTTAGCAGCCTCACAGGGAAGAATTTCTCCCTGATATCTAATCCTAACACTTAATCTTCCCATGTTAAGGGTTTCCAGGTCAGATGGAGGGGAGGAAGCTGGGCAGGGAATTCCCAAGCTCTGAGCAGGATGCCTACCTGGTCATCAGACACTTCCACGCAGCGGATGGAGAAAGGAGGCTTGAGGTAGGCAAAGCCCAGAAGTGGAGGCCTGGAGCAGCTGGTGACAAACTGGAAAAGTGCCACATGGTGATGATGGGAGAAGAACAGCCACACAGTGACACAGATCCAGCACTGCTGGGACTGGCACTGAGCACCCCCCAGCGTGTGTCTGGCAGCCTTTGGAGAGTGCCACCTCTGCAGGGCCATTCATGGTGATACCACAGCACCCACAGAGCCCTGCTGGGCACTTCCAGCTGTCAGGAATTCTGGTGCCCCTTCAGAGAGCACCCAGGTAACTGGTGAACAGCCCTGGCCCCACCACCCCAGATCCCAGCTGGGCAGGGATGGCTCCTCACTCACCTTGAGGAACATGGCTCTCTCCTCAGGGCTGAAGTCATTGGCCAGGATGTCCCAGAGCCAGATGATGACTCGGTGACTGCCATGGAAGCCCCCATAGTACACCGTGTGCTTCCTGGGGAGAGAAAGGCTCTGACAGGCCTGCCATTGCAGCAGGAGGGGCACAAGTGCTGGAAGAATCACTCAGGTGTGATGGTTTGGGTTGGAAGGGACCTTAAAGCTCATCTTGTTGCATCCCCTGCCACAGGCAGGGACAAATCCCAGTAGCCCAGGCTGCCCCAAGCCTGTCCAACACCTGCCACAGGTCAGGGTTCACTGCTGACACTGAGCCCCCAGCACTTGATCAGAGGAAAGGCAAAAGCAGGCAGGAATCCTGCTCCCAGAACCAATGCAAGAAAGGACCCACCCCACATTAGCCTTAATGAACACATTCCAAAGCTCCGTTCCTTTCTTCTCCTCACATTCCAAGCAGGAACAGCAAACTTGTGGCCAAGTCACTGTCACTGTCAAGCCACCAGGAGCTGTGCAAAGGAAAAGCTCAGCTCCCAGGCCAGACGAGGGATGGCCAGCAGCCCCAGCTGTCACTCACTTCAGGTCCTCGAGGTCGATCTCGGCGTTGTCCCCGGAGATGAGGCGCTGCAGCTCGGGCGCGGAGAACATGCGGATCCACTCGGGCTTGATGATGGACCTGAAGCCGCCGATGAGAGCGGCGGTCTGGCTCTTGATCTGGGTGTGCATCCGGAAATGTGCCATCAGGTGGATGTAGCTGATCCTGTGGGACAGGCAGGTGCCACGGGGGACATGGAGCTGCCAGGGGTACCCAGCACCCACCACTGAGCTGTCCTTGATGTGTTTCTCCAGCCCCAAAAAGGACTGGGACAGCCTGGACAGGGTTATACTTCCCCCTCCAGGCCCTGCTGGTTATTTAAGCAGATGTTTTTCCACCTCATTCCCCCCTCTGGGACTCTGCTCATTTCTCAGAGCTCCTGCCTAGCAAAGGGACTAATCGGCTTTAATAATTCCTTGATCAACCTTGGCTGGACACAGCTCCAACTCCTTTTAACAGCTCAGCTCTCCAGGCAGACTCCTCTAGATCTGACCAACAGCTCACTGGGTTCTGCTGCCCCATGGCTGGAGAAACACCACACCAAAACCATCAAGCAGATTCCCACCTTCCTGCAGGATGTGGGAAAGTTGAACTTTCTGTTAGAGAGAGGCTCTTCCCCTTCTCACCTCCAGGCAGAACACCTGAACTTGCTGATTCTTCTTCAGCAGCTCCCACACAGACCCCACCACAATTCCACTGCCTGGGTTTTTGGCAAGGTCACCCCAGCATCTCCAGGCAGAGCTGTTTCCAGATTGCTGTCATTCCCAACACTTCTGCTCCCTTCCAACTCCCAATTTTGGGTGCAGAAGCTTCAAATTTCTGCTGTAAATTACTAGAGCAGCATCCAGGACTTTCAACTTTTTTTCCTCAAGCTGACTTGTGACAAGCCTGAGGAAGATGCTTTCAAATGCAAACTCCCTGGCCAGAGCTGGAGAAGAGAAAAGCCTGGAAACATCAGGCTGCAAAGCACAGATCCAGGTGGGATCCAGCTTCCATTTGTCAGGAAAAAGATAACAACCCCCAGATCACCAGTTCAAACACACATTTGCTTAATAGATATTTCGTTCTGCTTTTATGAGCACTGATGGGGATAGAGAAGGAAAAAAAAAAAAAAAAGGAACAAAAAGGTGGGGTCGGTTTGCAGGCTCCGGAGTTGACATTTCTGATAACGATCTAAAAGCCGGTTATCTGTGAAAACAGCCCCGGGGCTCGGTGTCTCCTCTGATTTCCTGGCTCTAAAGAACGACTGTCGAGTACATTTGAATTCAGCACTGTCTGCTCGGAACACGTGCTTTATACAACTGCCACATGTTATCATTCTGAGGAGATCTGTCTGCTCCAAGGTGTCTTTGAGCATCTGTGCCCTCTGTGTTCACGACTGTGTGCCTGAATTGCTTTGAATCCATCTGTCTGTATCCATCACCATCATTAAATCCTGCAAAATCTCCCTGACTGGGTGCCTTTGACCTCAGAAGTGCTGTTTCAAGAAGTAAATTGTCAATTTTTATTTTGCAAATCAAATTTAATACAATTTCTGCCGATGAACTGTAACCAGCAAATTCTATTAAGATATTTATGTGCTCCTTCTCCTCCAATCTATCTCAATTCATTCCAGATGCAAGCCCAAGGAACCAGAATAAAGTATTGTGCAGTGGTGACCTTAAAAATCTAATTGCTGTACTCACTTATTTTCATTGGTAACGGGAATGGTCTTCCCTCCAGGAACAAGTTCATGGCAAACCAGCTGAGGGAAGAAATGATTGGATTGCTAATTACTGCCTGGAACCACAATGGAAGGAAATGCCATGCTAAGCTGTTACCTCCCCATAAAACATTTATTTTTTACAATAAAACAGCAGGATTTAAAATTTAAGTAATAATCCTACTTCTGCCTCAAACCAGTTTCACTTAACTATTAAGAGAGTAATTGAACAGTAGGAACTGCAGCTCTCCCACCAGTGGAGCCAGCCCTTCTCCAAGGAAGCCTCCTCTGCAGTCTGATCCATCACTGCTGAACCACACACAAATCAATTCCAAGAGCCCTGGGGGACTGTCACCATCCCAGAATCCAGAGGCTGAGCAAGCTCAGAGCGCTCAGCCTGACAGCACAACCTGAAGTTGGCTGAGCCGCAGGTCTCCTGCAGGAGCTCCTGGAGCTCTGTCCCTCCAGCTGGGCACTCCAGGCAGGAAGGCAGAGAGCCAGGAGGGATCTCCCAGTGCCTGGTGATCTCCTCCAGCTCAGGGCCAGTGCAGGACCCTCCAGGTGCTGCTGCAGAGTCCCCACTCCTCTTTGCCCAAGCTGAGGCAGCACATCCTCATTCCTACTTTAGAGGCCTCTGTGCCTCAGCTCCTGGTGAATTCCAAGGTCAGACTGAAGCCCAGCACAGGGAATGTGACATGGCTGTGGCTACAGGGACACAGAGTTCAGCCAGGGTGACCCACCTGGCTCCTTCAGCACAACCAAAGCACTGGGGAAACAGGAGTGCCCAGGTTATTTTTAATCTCAGTGAACCACAGCTTTCAGTGTCTCATTGCTGAGCTCCATATCCTGCTCCTATGTTCATTTTTTACATGGAAGAACCCTCCAAGCTGAAACCTCAGCAATCCTGAGGCAGTAGCAGGTGTCCTCCATGGCTCCCCATGGAATTTGCAGCACAACACTGCCAGCAAAAAGCATTTTTATCTTATCTCTTCAGATTTTCCAGCTCTGCACACAGAGCTTCACAGGGCTCAATGCAACCAAGTACCTCCAAGTCTTCCTAAGGGAGTGCCAAACAGCTTTTCATTCTCTAGGCCAAGAGACCTCCTGACACACTTGGGAGTTTCCCTGACTCCCTGATAGAAACATCTATGTGGAAAAAAAAGGAATTTCTCCCTATTCACAGACTTCTCTTAAGAGGGGCACACCAGTTATGCAGGGGAAGCATTAAACACTTTTCAACCCTAGAAGCAGAAAAATTAAGGGTCAGAGGGGAACCTCTTCTTGTGGAAAAAGCTGTTCTCTGCCCACAGGTAAATACTGAATCCCATGGCTGAGCTCAGACAAGCTGAGAGGACACAGCAAAGGTAAGGTCCAACAAATCACTGAATAAAAACCTACCTGACCCATCACATCTTCATCATAGGACAGTGTCAAGCCCAGGTCACTGATATCACCATCGTAACGCTGGAGAACAACAGGGAAGAAGGAAAAAAAAAGGGAAAGAAGGTCAGGGTTCAGCAACAGAACCACCAGTCACTCCCAGTTTCTAACGACAGGCAGCAATCAGGGAGGGGAATGACAGGAAAATTATTGCTCCAACCTTAATTGAAGTGAGATTTTTATAGAACTCCGAGTCCAAGGAGGGCAGTTCATCCACGGAGCTGTAGAAGACACTGTGGTGGTGCCCAAGGAGTTGACTCAAAAAGAAGGAAGCAAATGGAACATCCACAACTATTCCCTGTGGACAAGAAGAATGCACAGGTAAGGTTCTGCCACACACTTGTGGTTGTGGCATCTTTGGTTACCTGTACGGCAGATCTTGTGATGTGGAACAAGTGCAAAGACCACTTTGCAAGGCACCAAAATCAGCTACAAACCTCACATCCTCTTAAAATCCATCAATTAGTAAGGCAGGTGCAAAAAGGCACCCGGGGAACTCCATGTGCTCTTTAAAAGAACTGCATTACATGGTTTGAACTGAACGAGGGGAAATTTAGTCAGATACATGGAAAAATCCTTCCTTGTGAGGGAAGTGAGGCCCTGGCAGAGGTTGCCCAGAGAAGCTGTGGCTGCTCCTGGATCCCTGTAAGTGTCCAAGGTCAGGCTGGACAGGAATTGGAGCAACCAGGGATGGTGGAAGGTGTCCTTGCCCATGGGAAGGAGATTGGACTAGAAAGTCCAACCAACCCAAATCATTCTGTCAGTCATTCTGACATTTCATCCTCCTTTTTGCCTTATGTCCCTTTGAGGTATCCACAAATAGTTGTTTGTAAGGTGGAACACCAAAAAACACACTGGTGTCCCAGCACCATGAGGAACAATCAAGGCATGACAAGGTTTTACCTCCATGATTATTTGTAATACATGCCTAAAGAAATTCCAGCCTGTTCCACTAAGAGGATCTTTATCCAAGCCATTTTTCCAAACTCCACTCTTCAATAACACCCCCCCCAAGCAGGACAGGTGCCCTCAAAGTCACCATCACTGACAAGATCCCAGCCTGGTGCTTCTGGCTTACCTCATACACAGCCTTCCCAAGCATCTTCCCCACAAACTCAAAGAGCTGCAGGTAGTTCTCATGGATGTAGGATGTTGGGGATGGATACAGCCTCTCATCACCACTGGTGGTCTGCACAAAGAGAAAAGAGCCCAGTGAGCCAGAATGGCTTTGCCTGCACCAGGTCACCTCAGGTGGCACCCGTGTCCTACCTTGAACAGGTTCAGTGCAGGGTCGAACACCTTTTTAATGATCTCTTCCAGGAACTCTTTGAAGACCCCATCTTGATCAATACCAGCCTCATCGACCCCCAGGTCATTGACAAACTTCACCCTGATCACTCCTTTCATGGCGTTCTGGGAAAGCTGCCGGAGCTGTTCGTACCCATCCTACACAGAGCAGAAAATCCAGAGGGCAATCCCAGAGAGAGACATGAAAAATCCACCCAGAGATGCAGCAGAGACAGGACACAGGCCCACCACAGAAATTTCCATTTGTCATTGAGTCTTTAGCTCAAAAAACCAGCATTTTCCAAGTCAAAATTCCAGGTTTGCAGCAGCCTGAGCTGAATGAGGATCCAGCATTCTCCTGGAACACAGTTCTGGGACTGGATCCCTCAGCAGCCCCAGAGAAGGTAAAACACACCCCCCTGCCCTGTTTTTTGTCAGGCCAGACTGCTGCTGGCTTGTGTCCCTCACCTCGAGCATGCGGGAGCGGCGGATGGTGATGTGGGTGACGTGAGGGGACGCCGAGCTCGTCTCCACCAGCCCCAGCTTCTCCTTCTCCTTTGTGACCATGTTCCGGAAAAGCAGCACCCTCTACAAAAAGAAAACAAATGGGCAATCCATGAGGATCCTCATCCTGCAGGGCAGCAGGGATCTGGGAGGCTCCTGACACACAGAACTGCTGCTGGTTGTCCTGATCCCAGCTATTCCCAACGGTGCCACTTTCAGCCTGTGTGTGCAGCTGCACACACAGATCAGTTCTATCTCAACACAGAGATCAAGACATTTGAAGGAAATGCACTAGGAAGGGGTGAGGACACATCAGTCCTCTCTCAGTGACAGAATCAAGACATTTAGAGGAAATCTATTGGGGAAGGTGAGGATGAAGCAGTTGACTTTTACTCGGCTGGCATTTCAAAAGAAGCTCCATGTCACAAAATGTTCCAGCCACGTGTCCCTCCCACCCCAATGGCCACCCAGGCCATTGATTCCCAGCCTCCACCCTCTACCCCCATCCTACTCACGTTCTTGTGAGGAATGACATGTGGGATGTACTGCAGGAGCAGCTGGGCTCGTTTCTTGTCCTTGTCCAGCTCCTGGAAGAGCACGCTGGGTTTGAGGTCCCTTGACAAAGAAAGGCAGAGATTCAGAGATCCCTGAGAAATACCCAGGTGTGGGAGAGAGGGAACAGGCAGTGATTCCAAAGATGACTGAAGCACTCAGTGTACACACTAAGAAGGTAAAAGAGCCCAGGGACACCCAAGCTCTTGGGTGCTGAGTCAGTATTCAAAGCACCACCTAAACCTCCCACAACACGAGGGGCAACCTTAACTGCAACCACAGGTAGCAGTTCCCACCTCAATCCCACAGGCAGAATGTCAATAAGGAATCCCAAATCAGGCTCCCCAGAGGATGTGGAGCAGTGGGACAAGCCTGGAGCTGCCCAGGATCCCTGCCCTGGGCCACTCACTTGCGCAGCCAGTGATCCTCGGGAGCGAAGCGCCGCCGACAGTCCCGCTCGTACAGCACCATGAGCCAGCCATGGACAGAATGGAACAGCTCCAGGGTCTCCCCTCGGGCATTCTCTGCACAAAAGGAACAAGGCAGCAAAGTCCAGGCACCCTTGGCACCAGCAGAAGCCATACCTTGATTATCCTCCCCACAGTAACAGCACTGGGGTGTTTTCCAGACCTGCACGGCTTCTGGAGGGAAGGATTTTGTGCCTCTGGGAAGAGAGATTGTCTCTTCTTTAAACAGAGCTAATCAAAGCCATCTCATTTCCCATCAGAACTGGAATACCTCGGCTAATTACCAGAGAGCTGAGCTGTACCCAAATTATACCAGCAGAGAGATCCACAGCAGATTCTACAGAGACCCAAGCAAGCTGTTCTGCCTGGTCACAGAACTGCTCTGCTCTTGTCCAACACATGGCCCAGCCTTGCTAAAGCTCATCTCTGCCAAAAACCAACATGCCCATCATGTCTGTTACACAAATCCTTACTGGAAATAGGGAAGTGCTCTGGATTTGGCACAAAGCATGATTGTGGCATCTGGACATCAAAAGACTGGGACATATTCCCATATTGAACGTGCTTTTTGTGCCAAGGAATAATTAGCAGAAGCTTCAAATTCCAAAATTAATGCCATTTGTGGTTCTAACAGTAACATCAACTCAATCTACTAAAAGTACTCACCTACAATTCCATCCCAGATCATCTTAAACACGAAGGAATTCAGGAAAGAAGAGATGGTCACCAGCTCTTCCAGTTTGAATGAAATCTGCTCTTCGTAGACCTCAATGTCATCCAGAATCCTGTCAGAGCAAACAAATGCAAATGCACAAGTGTAAATTTAATTCCCTGTTGAAATTTTCATAAAGGCACATTATCCTTTAGCAGCAGCTCTTATTTCTATGACAACTGACACCCATGAGGATCTAAAGTCATAAACAACCAAACCTTATTTATGGATTTTGACTGATAGCAGATCTTAACAGAAGATGGTATGAGAGGCTGAGATACAAGCAAAGTCAGTGTTTCAGGCTTAAAAGGACTTTTTCCATTCCCAAGAAAATTTTTTCCTCATTCAAGAGGAGAGAATTGTCTCTGGTGACCAACAAGGGCAATTTTACACCCCCTTTCCCATCTTTTGTGTTGTTCCTTTTCCTCCTCATACTCAGTTTTCTCACCAGCTGCAAGCAGCACACAGCTGAGGGGAAAAAAGTACTTTTGAAGCTTTTTATTTCTCAGGACTCAATCCCAAAAGCTTGCTCCTTCACCTTGCCTACTTATCTTCATGAAAAAGCTTCAATGTTTCTCTTGAACTTGAAGGAACAAAACAGCTCCATGTCACAAATCCAGGAATTCCCATCCATGAGCTACCTACGTGATGAGGTGACGGGAGCAGTCACAGAAGAGCATCAACATGGCCAACAGCCTCTTGGATTCCTCTGTGTCGTTGTTCAAACACTCCAAAAAGAGTTTTAACCCCCCCTGTGGTCCCAGCTCACAGATGAAAGCCCACAGTTTGGGCAGCAGGTCATCCAGGTAAGTGAGACCTATGAAAACATAAAGTGCACTTGGTAAAGCTCATTGTGCTGCTTGTGAAATCTCAGAGAGGTGAGACTTGAAGCTGAAAGAGCCTTTTGCAAAGCAGAAGAGGAACATGAGCATCCCATTTGGCTCCCAGGGCTGTCTGCATTAACAGGAGGTAGACAATCACCAGGAAAGCACAAAAAAAAAAATCCCATAACTTTTAATGAGGCTTTGTTTGCACATCTTGAACCTTTTCCCCGTAATTCTTTGGCAACTTCAGCAAATAATGAATTCCTGTGATCCCACATCCACCTTAGGGATGAGAACACAACAGGGCTGCACCCATGGTCATCACAAAGCATCCAAAGCTCTGGAATTGCTCCCTGCTCTGCCCACAGGACCAAAACAGTGCTGATGTCCTCCTCTACCCCTTCCCAAGACAGGCAACTTGTTCTCAAGTATGAAAGCATTCAGTGTTTCCAACCACAAAAAGATTAATATTGCCAGGCTCCCCAAAAACCCTGACTCAGGCTGAAGATTGAGAGGGAGTAAGCAAGGTTTCATGAGAGGAAAACTTGCTTTAATTTGTATTCTTGAGAGTTTGTGCTTGAACAAGTGGTGCTGAATGTTATTGATCCCACAGATGATTCAGGATGGAACAAGCCTTCCCCAGCCAGTCAATAACCTGCTGGCAGTGATAAAACTCCCAACAAATCAACAGAAATAAGGAAATCTCTTTTTTTTTTTTCCCTCTCCACTGGAAAGGATTTGAGCAGCAGGGAGGTGGCCTGACCTGTGAGGATCTGCAGGCGGATCTGGGTGAGGGTGGTCAGGGTGGTTTGGTACAGGACACAGATGCTGCAAACCTTCTGCACCTCAGCAGAGTCCACGCGCTTCCCTCCCACCGGCTTCAGGATGTTCCGGACTGAGGCCGACTTCTGGAAAGCTCTCTTGAACAGGTCTGGGGGCAGAAACACAGCAGGAATGCAGAGTTAGATGGGATTTTGGGAAGGAATTCTTCCCTGTGAGGCAGGTGAGACCTTGGCACAGGGTGCCCAGAGAAGCTGTGGCTGCCCCTGGATCCCTGGAAGTGTCCCAGGGCAGGTTGGATGAAGCTCTGAGCAGCCTGGGATAGTGGGAGGTGTCCCAGCCCATGGCCCCAAATCCCTTCCAACTCCACCATTCCACATGTTCTATAGGACAAGGTGAAAAGAATGAGCTGCAAGTGCCCTTCCATCCCAAACCACTCATGATCCATGATCCTGACTGCAGCAAATAATGACCACAGGATCCAGTGTTATGGGCAACAGCTAGAAAATATCAGATTTTCAGTTCTCTTATCCCAAATCCTTTTTCTGCAGGACCACCACACCTCACAGGTGCAGGATCGAGCTTCACCTTGCTTTCCACTTGGGAAGCCGAGCTCTAATATTCCCTTGGAAGTCTTAAGTTTTGCCAAAAGCACTTCAGCTACTTGAGAAAATGATGAAAAGAAACTGCTAAAATAAGCAAATATTTTTCTAGCACTAAAGAAAGAGACTTGCCCCAGGTCACAGAAGCATTCCAAGGAGGAATTACGAGTAGGAGGCATCACATCCCCACCTAAGCAGCAGCAGCTACTGCAAGTAATTATTCAAAGCTTTTGGCAGAAGTGGAAAAGTCAAAGCCCTGCGAGTTTAGGAAAGAGATCCACATAAACACACACACATAGACAAAAAAAACCCCCAAAATCCTCCAGAACTGACTTTTCATAGGAAGGCTGTTCTGAGGGGAGATTGGCTGTGCTGGCAGCTGAGCTATCTCCTGATTTTCCAGCAGTTTCTTGCTGAGCACATCACTGAAGAGGATCCGGATCATGTGGACCCCCCAGAGGTGCTGCAGCTGCTTGGTCAGCAGGGGCATGGACTCGTTCAGCCTGGAAGACAGAGCAGGAGGACAGGTTAGAAGGCAGCTTGGAATAAAACACCAGGCAGTGATACTGATCCATTTAGCTCATAATCCAAACTGGAATATGCACCCACCCATGGAATAGTCTGTGCAGGAATGCTACAGTTTATTGTACAGCTAGAACCCGAAATGTCTGAGAAATTATGTCTGTTCATCTCAAAACATAAAACACTTTGCAACACATAAAAAAAATTTAAAAATAAAAGGAAAGGCTTCATCATCTCTCCTAGTGAGGTCCTGCCCACTCACCCATAATCCACAGTCTGTGAGAACCAGCCCAGCACAGGGTGCCAGTGGGTGAGGTTGGATTTCTTCTGGGACACGTACTTCTGGCAGTAGGAGAGCATGTGGATGAGCACCCCCACAAAATGAGCTGTCTCCTCCACCAGCACCTGGTCATTCAGGGAGCCCAGGAACACCAGATTGCCTGGAGGAAGGACCAGCACAGCAAGGCTTAAAGAGGAACAGATGCTGTGGGACAGGGGTTAGAGGTGAAGTGAATCCTTTCCCAGTCCCAGGAGAGGATTTGTGTCACCAGTGATCTCAGAAGCCACCCTGCAGGAAGCCATTTCCAGCACACATCAATCCCTGAGGTAACATGTCCCTTTGGCCACCTTTCCCACCTTTTCCCCTTTCCCACCAACACCTTCTACAAACTACTAGAAGCTACAACCCCTGGTTATCTCAGAGTCCCAACTGATAATCTTGTTACTTTTGCAGAAATGTGAATTAAAATCTGCAGCAGCATTTAGGAGAAGGAGAGCCAAGTCTGCCACACTCCAAGACTTGCTCAGAGTCCAAGCAAAAAGCTGGCAGAGATAATACATGACATGGATACAAGAGCAAATCTCTGGCCCTTCTTCCCTTTGCAAAGGTTTTAAACCTTGTCTGTAACATCCCAAAATACAACTCAGTTATTATTTAGAGAAAATTATCAAAATAACAATTAAAAATCATGAGTTGGAAGCAGCTCTGCCCCATGGAAAATGAAGATCTGAATCAAGACTCTTTTTCAAATCCAATAAAAGAGGTGGAGGTGCTCACCCAGCAAGCAGAGAGTGTGACTGCCCTCCAGGCACACGCAGACATCTCGGCACTGGGACTCCCGGCTCAGGAACAGGATGAATTTCCGGAAGAGATCGTGGGATTCCATCACTGCCAGGCGCTGGGAGACAGCATGGAAGGGCCAGTGAGGCTGGGAAGCACCACATTCCCCACTCCTGATCTGCCAGCAGCACTTGGCACTGGCTTTTCTTCCCAAATAAATCACCACGTTGAGGCTGTTGCCCCACAGAGTGTTTGACACGGAGCTGGGCTGGGAAATAAAACCCCTGGCAGGTGAACAGGTCATGCTGGAGATGGAATCAGACCTTTGCAATGATATGTCTGCAAGAACACAGGAATTGCCCATTTGGCACAAAACCTGCCTGTCTGCACCAAGCAGATTGAGCTGGATTAATGGGCAGCACATTTGTCACCCCCACAGAGCCTTTGCCACCAAAAAGGGTGATTTTGGCATTGGTTCTGTCTGTGGTTATGGAAAAGGAAGAGCAAGGGCATGAAAAATTCAAGCTGTGGGTCATATATGCTTTTTTAGGTATTTTAGGGCAGTTCAGCCCATCATCCCACTGGTATTAGTAACTTCTGCATTAGAAATCCAGAGCATTTGCAAGGCTTTCACAACAGAGAACTAAAAATGGCAAAGAGAAATGCCAAAGCTCTGTTCCAAGAGCTGATAAAATGGAGTAAGAAGTGGCCTGGTGTGATAATCAGTCCCCTGAGATCACCCACTTACCTCAGGGGTGAGAGTAGCAAGGTGAGTCATTATAGCAGGCACAGACATGACATGGATCAGGAAGGACCTCAGCAGATTGTCTGAGAACTGTGCAGCAACCACAGGGCTACAGAGAGAGAGAGAGACACTTCAGAGCTCAACCCAGCCTGGGAAAGCAATACAGCCTCCAACTGAGCCATCCAGCACTGGATCCTGGGAATTTCCTCAGCAAGAACCACAGAAACAGGGAATGGGTTGGAAGAGAACTTACAGCTCAGCCCACCCCACACCCCTACCATGGGCAGGGACACCTTCCACTATCCCAGTCTGCTCCAAGCCCTTTCCAACCTGGCTTTGAAGCATCCCAGGGAAAAGATTGTTCACCCACACTTCTGCTCTAAGAGCAAGTTCACCCTGAACTGAACTGCACCCTCAAGTTTAGGCTCACACTAATTCCTGACTTAAAGCCACTCTAATCTGAAAAAGGGTGACTGCAAAGTGAGCCATTTGCCTAAAGCAACTTCATTCCTCAGGGTGATATTCTCAATGGCACAAAACCCCAGAAATAATGACTAGTCTTAAAAAAAAAAAAAAAAAAACACTAAAAAAAAGCCAAGTTTGGCTGCAAATCCCCTCAAGCAGCTCCACCTGACTCACCGCAAAGCAAGGGAAAAGATGGCAGTTAAGGAACCTTTGGACAGGGAAGGTCTGGATCTTGCCAAGCCATTAGTTAGCAAAATCTGGAATGAAAAAGAGAAATCAAAATATAAAAACCTTGTAGTACTCAGAAAAACAAAATACTATTACTCCTGAAAGTCATTAAGTTTATTTAATGCAGAGAATAAGAACATCAGAGCAGCCTAAAATCCAGTTCATACAAGTTATTTGGCAGAACTAGAAGGTTAATAATGGCACAAGAGAGATACTGCAATGAAATCAGACACTCCGCAGGACTTATTTCCCTAGAACCTGTGCTCACAGGCTTTAAAAATTAACAGACAAGGCTCAGAGTTTGGTAATGTAATTCTTATTTAAAAGATTCATTATATCAGTTCCTTTTCCCAGCAGAGCAGCAAACAAACCCAACCAATATAATGTGGCAGGTGCAAAGTTTGTCAAAATTATGTAGGACTTGTCCTTGTCCATCTCATGATGGGGTGATTAAGCAGGATTTAGGTTCAGCAGCAGTGACAGAAGGGGAAGGGTGGATTTGGTCTCACTCTACTTGAGAAACTTGAGAAATTTTTGCTTTGCTTGAGAAAAATATAATCATGTACAAATCACTGGCAGCTCATCCCTGAGACCCTAACACAGACCCAAAGAGCTCCTCAGGAGAGGGGGACAGGCAGGGCTGGGGCTGGTTGGGGTGAAGTTGGGACTGTGGCAGCTCAGACTGACCTGCAGCACGGAGTAGAAGCCCTTCTGGTTCAGGTGGCCCATGATGTTGGCACAGATGTGGTTCATGGCAGGTCTCAGGGTCTCACCTTTGGGTTAAAGCACTCGTGTCACTCCCACAGCACCACAGCCCCACTCTGGCTCCCCCACACAAAGGTTTGTCACTGCCCAAAGTCCTTGTCCTTCTACACAAACCCATCATTCTGTCAGCATTTTACACTGTATTGTTTAGGCTCTAAGAGTCTCATTTCCTCTCACTACTTATCTGCCTTTCCTACATCTATTTCCTACAAAAGTTAAGAGCACATTCCCTTACCCCCTGAACACTTACTGTGTGAGGGTTTCTCGAATATTATAAAAATGCTGTAACAACTGTTGGTGTCCTAAGGGAAACAGTCTAATCCCAAGGGGAAGAGTCTAATCCCAAGGGAATCCTTAATCTGGGCAAACACAGGAGCAGAATGAATCTTTGTGGCAACCAAGGTGCAGAAACAGAACCCCAGAAGGGTTTGGGTTGGAAAGAATGTTAAGGATCATCCCATCCCAAACCCCTGCAAAGGGCAGGGACACCTCCCACTATGCCAGGTTGCTCCAAACCCTCTCCAACCTGGCCTTGGACATTTCCAGGGATGGAGCAGCCACAGCTTCTCTGGAACTTGTGGCAGAGCATTCAGTAAATTTTAACACCAAGTCCCAAATCAGTGAGATTTGGATGCACCAACCTTTTCCCCGGAGGATCTTCCAGGTGGAAGTGTCTGTGAAGGTGACCAGCATTGTGAGGTGCAAGTTCACCAGTCTGGAGTCCTGCAGGATGTCAGGCTGGGATAACAAACAGCAGAGTTAACAAATCCACTGAGCCTTGTGCCCCCTGCCAAATGCAGGGAGAGAAAACACAGGAATAGTCCTCACCTTGAGCTGCTTGAGGAATTCACAGCAAAACCACAGGATGTCTTTGATCTGTTTGATCCAGAGGAGGGTGAGGTCCTTGGAGAGTGCCAGTGACACGTACCACACCTGAGCAAGGGGGGATGCACAGAGGGATCAGGGCTTGTGCTACTGCTGGGCAGTTTGGGAACTGAACCCAGCAGTGGGACCAAGATGCTCCTCTCCCCAAATTCTCACATCACCCACGCCAGAAACCAAGTGTCCTTTAACTCCCGTGGCTGCACAGAGTAAAAATATCCCAGGAATACTAAAGGACTTTCCACAGTGGAATTTCCACAGTGCTCAAGGGTTTCTGAAATCTAAAAATTACATATTAGCGAAGTAAATCCCCACACAGAGAGTTAAAAACGACCACCAAGCCCTCCCCACTCCAAAGCAAAACCCCCCTGCTGACCTTGGGCTCGTTCTCCACATCCATGCTGTTCAGGATACAACGGCACAGCTTCTCAAACCTCTGGGAAAATCCAAAGGTGGGATTAGTTCTAACTACAGGAAGGGCTGTTCTGGAAAAGCACAAGAACAGCTCAGCAAAGGGAGGAAGATCTCTCTGTCTCAAATTAGCAAATGTTCCCAGCACATTCCCTACAAGAATCCTCATGGCTCCTTCCCTGGGAGCACACACATCCTGCTGCTGCTGTGCAGAATTCCTTCCTTGGGAACACAGGGGGGTTTTTTTGGGTGCTGTACCAACAGAAAACTGCATCTGAGCACAGATTTCCATGGGACAGAGATTAACAAAATCCCTCACTGCTGCTGCCATTGGAACACAGCTTTCCATTTTGCAGCTGGTTTCCTTCCAGTCAGCCCTCACAGCTTCCTGGGATCATCATTTCAGGGCTTCACTCTGAACCCACAAGTTCAGGGCATGGTGAGAAAAGCTGCTGGGGTACAAACAGCCTTCCCTGTGCCAGCACAGATCTCTGGCAGCTGTCCCAATGTACCTGCCTGGGGAACTGGGGTGTGCCAAAATCCTCAGGCACTGCTCAGCTCCTGCAGCTAGCACAGTCACCAGAAAAAACATCCATTAAAGGATGTCCCAAATACAAAACCACTGCTGAAAAATTCAAGGTTTCTCCCATCTCAATCCTACAGGCAGGTCCCTTCAGGAAGGGCCAGACAAAGAAGCCAGAGAGAACCTTGCTGAAGGCAAAATATATTGCAAGAACCTCCAAGATTGCTGAGTAAAGAATTAAACATATTTAACCTGTCCCCAAAAGCACAGCAGGATGTGAGGGCAGTGTCCTCACCTCCTTGTCCTCCTTGGGATTGAACACAAACAGCAGCTTCCTGGCAATCCTGAACACAGACAGGGCACTTCTTTTACTTGAGCCACATTCATTTGTCCCAAAGAAATCCTCCACCTCTCTCCTAGCAAAGAGGGAAAAACGAGGAGTTAAAAAGCAATCACAGAGCAAAGAATTCATTCCCTGAAGAGCCCCACATGGAAGATGGAGAGAGACTTTTTACAAAGGAAAAAGGGGAATGGACTCAAACTGACACAAGACAGGGTTAGATGGGATACTGGGAAGAAATCCTTCCCTGTGAGGATGGAAGAAGCTGTTGCTGCCTCATCCCTGGAAATGCCCAAGGCCAGGTTGGCGAAAAGTGGTGAGGGTTTTGGAATGAGATGAGCTTTAAAGTCCCTTCCAAGCCAAGCCATTGCATGATCCCACGAGCCCCACACACCTGATCTCCCTCTGCAGGTGGCATCGACACAGAAACCTCCTGACCAGAGCCTGGAGCTGCACTGCAGCTCTCTCCCTCTCCTTCAGCTCCCGCCGCTCCTCCCGCGCCTGCCGGGCCTTGTCCAGGAACTGGGCCCTGGAGGATTGGCTGGCACTGAACATGGCTGGAGCCTCAGGGAGCAAAGGATCCTCACAGCAAACAGCCTGGAAAACCAGAGCAGAGTGGAAAAAACACTCATAGAAGGGCAGTTCTTGGCTCCATGCAGAGGACGGGAGAATCCGACAGCGGAGGGAAAGTGGGCTAAAAAAAAAAAAGAAAAAAAAACCCCAGTGACTGTCACGGGGCTGCAGCAGGGACACAAAAACACTGGCAGGGAATCCTTCCAGCACAGCCCACAGCCTGCTGCTGGCTGGGAGATTTTAAGTGGAAAAATAAACAAATCAGTGGTGTTGACACTGTGCTCCACCTCCCCTCTCCAGCATCTGCTCCTTCCTTGGTAACAGATAAGAACAACTCCTGGGCAGGGGCAGGAGGCAAACGGCACAAGGGACAGCGATTTACTGCCTTTCAGCAGATAAAACACCCAGAGCTTTATAAATAGCAACAAAGCACTCACCTCAGGGGTCACTTATTCAAGGGAAGCGTGTGATGCTCATTTACACGCACACATCGAGAGACTTCGGGCAGCTCCTGCATGGACAAGCACATTCCCTGCGGCTGATTTGGGGACTTAAGACTTTCCCTCCGCAGTTCCGAGTCCTTCGGAGCCCATTTACCTCTGGCTGCAGCCGCAAGGAAAACGGTAAGTGGGAGGAGAAGCAGCACCACAGGCAGCTGAGGGGGGTGCGGAGCAGGGACAACCCCGTGTGTGACAGCACGAGAAGGACAAAGCCACCCAGGTGCCACCCCCGGGCAGCCACCCACAGAGGTGCGCTGCGGCTCGCAGGAGTCGCCCACAGCAGCCACAGAGCCCCCTCAGCCCCTCCGGCAGCCGCGCATCCCTCCCGTTCCCACCGCAGCCTCCCCGGGCCCGCACTGCGCTCACCCCGCCGCGCCTCCCCCCGCAGCCCCCCGGCGCTCACCCTCGTCCCGGCGGGCACCGGGCCGGGCCTCACAACCCCGGAACCCCCCGGGAACCCCCCGGGAACCCCCCGGTCCCTCCCGGCTCCGCCGCCAGGCCGCGGCCGCAGCCCCCTCCTCGCACCGTGTCCGCGCTGCCCGTCCGGCCGCCAACCCGCCCCGCCGCTGCCGTTCCGCCGGGCCGCTCACCGGCCGGGCGCAGGGGGAACGGCCCGCCCTGCGTCCCGCTGGGACCGGGGAGGCCGGGCCGGGCCGGGCCGAGCCGGGCCGAGCCCGTGAGGCGGCGGCGGCGCGGCGCGGGCCCGCCGGGCCATCGGACGGGTTTGGGGGCGCACCGGGCGGCGCCGGAAGGCGGGAGCGGCGGAAGTTCCGCGCCCGGCGCTGCCGCTCGCTCGCTCCGCGGGGCTCGGCCCGTTCATGGTGAGGGGAGAAGGCGGCTCGGGGCCGCGAGGGCGGGGAGGCGCTCTGGTGCTCGCGGGGGAGGAGGGGATGGAGGGGCGGATGGGGGACGGCGGGTGTGAGGGGGTGCGGGCCTCAGCACGGGGGAGGTGATGGGGGTCCCCTCGGTGGGGCGGGGGGCTTTGGGGCATGGGAAGGGGGCTGAGAGAGGCCCCGGTTGCGGGTTGCCGTCCTGCCCGCTGCCCTGGGAGGGGTCGGGCTGAGGGTTTTGGGGGTCCGGCCGCCGAGAGCGGTGCGGGTGTTGAGGAGCGGCAGTGCCCAGGGGCGGCATGGAGAGAGGGGTCCCGGGGGGAGTCTGAGCCCCGGTCCGGTGTGGGGAGGGCAGCGCTGCGATTCGGGGTCGTGATGGGATCGATCCCCCTCTGGAACCCCGCGCCCGTTCCTGCCCCAGCTCGGTACCGGAGGGAGCGGGAACGTGAGCTGAGGTTGCTGCCTGTGCATCCCGGAGATGATGGGATCGTCTCCAGGCCACCCCTGCCGCTCCTGCTCCCTCTCCTGTGCCACACAGCTCCGGCTCCTTGGGGAGTTTCACGGCGGTGAAGCAAAAATCCTTCGGTTCGGCTCATCGCGGAGCCCTGGGAGCTGGAGGAGCAGGGATGGAGGGGGTGAATTATCCCACCTTTCCCATCCTGAGGGAAAACAGCCGCGGAGGCTCCTAGAGATTAAGGATTTAGCGGCTCTGGGGGCATTTGTGGTGCTGAGCCTCCGTGTGCCTGTGCCCGTGTGACCTCGGTGACAGGAATGTGGCTGGAGGTTGCTGTGTCCGGCTGGATTTTGGTGCTCTGAGCAGTGTGGGAGGGCAGGGAAGAGCAGGAAAGCTCATGTGTGCTCTCCGTGTTTGCTCTAAGAGAAAAAGACTTGAAAACCTGTGGATTTTCTGCCTTTTAGCACTTGGGAATCTGTTGATTTCTGCATTTGGACTCACAGGAATCATCTGCTCCACTTGTGTGTGTTGGGAATTGCCCAATTCCATCCCAGATTATTGATGGAGTAAGAGCTTTAAGCTGTGGAGTTGTGTGAGAAATGAAAGCAGTTGTGGGAAAGCTTGGCTTTGCAGTGCAAAACCCGGTTTAGCAATCCTAGGTGGTGGTTTTTTTTTTTTTGTTTGTTTGTTTGTTTTTTTTTTTCCCCTGGGGAAAAAAACAGGGACTGTGCCCACCAATGTCCTTCAGTTCCTGAGAGTGAAACATTGAAAACACTTGAGAACTTCACACAGAGCCACAGGAGGAGCCGAGGTGTGAAACACCCGGTGGGAGCAGGGATGTCACACTGCCAGGGTGGCAATTGCTCCTTTGAGCTGGGAATTCCTTCCCTGAAGTGGAAAGTCCTTCCTTGAGCTGGGAAGTCTTCCTTGAATTGGGAAGTCCTTCCTTGAGCTGGGAATTGCACTCTTGAGCTGGGAGATGCTCCCTTAAGCTGGGAAGTCCTCCCTTGAGCTAGGAACTGCACTCTTGAAGTGGGAGCTGCTCCCTTAAACTGGGAATTGCACTCTTGAACTGGGAATTGCACTCTTGAACTGGGAAGTCCTTCCTTGAACTGGGAAGTCCTTCCTTGAGCTGGGAGCTGCTCCCTTGAGCTGGGAATTACTTCCTTGAGCTGGGAGCTGCTCCCTTGAGCTGGGAGCTGCACTCTTGAAGTGGGAACTCCTTCCTTGAACTGAGACCTCCTTCCTTGAGCTGGGAGTTGCACTCTTGAAGTGGGAACTCCTTCCTTGAGCTAGGCATCCCCTTCCTTGCAGGAAGAGATGTCGGGAGAGAGCGTGGTGAGCTCAGCAGTGCCGGCGGCCGCGACGCGCACGACGTCCTTCAAGGGGAGCAGCCCCAGCTCCAAGTACGTGAAGCTGAACGTGGGAGGGGCCCTGTACTACACCACCATGCAGACCCTGACCAAGCAGGACACCATGCTCAAGGCCATGTTCAGCGGGCGCATGGAAGTGCTCACGGACAGCGAAGGTGAGGATCGGGACCTTACTGGCGTCCTACCTGGCCAGGGAAAGTCACTGCGGTCGTGGGAAGGTCACAGGACCTTCTGTTTGAAGGGTTGGAAGGATGGAGGAGCTCTCCTACAAGGGAGGGTTGGGATTGTTCAGCCTGGACAAAAGGCAGGTTTGGGGTGACCTAATTGTGGCTTTCCAGTGCCTGAAGGAGCTACAAGAACCACAGAGGGAGGCTATTTATAAAGCCCTGGAGTGGCAGGACCAGAGAATAGGTTTGGATGAGATATTGGGAAGGAATCTTTCCCTGTGAGGGTGGGGAGGCCCTGGCACAGGGTGCCCAGAGAAGCTGTGGCTGTCCCTGGATCCCTGGAAATGTCCAGGGCCAGGTTGAATGGGGCTTGGAGCAGCTTGGGATAGTGGGAGGTGTCCCTGCCCATGGCAAGGAGTGGACTAAATAATCTTCAAGATTCCTCCCAACCCAAAAACTGCTGTTGTTCCATGATTCCATGATTGTACAGCTGGGAAAAATGTGGAACAAAAGACAAAGATGATCTGAGTGGTTGCCTGAACAGAAGGACACCAAGAAGTGCCAGAGCTCCTGTCAGGCCCTGGTGACACCTGGAGCATCTTTCCTTTCAGAATACTGACACTAAAGCTCTGGAGTCCATGGAAAAAGGCGTGGATAGTGATTAGGAATCCTTGAGCTGGGACTTGTGTGTCTTCTTGGAAGCTCAGAATGCCATTCCCTCTTGTCTCCTTGCTTATAAATAAAATATAAAACATACTCTGAACATAGGTATAAACGAGTTAAAAGCTGATTTTTTTTTAAATGAAACAATTATCTCGTGGGACTGTTGACAGCTGATTTCCCTAAAATAGAACCAGTTGCAAAATTTTCAGAAAATTTGGAATTTTATCTCCGCATTCCCACATTGTGGATGTGCCAGAGTTTAATTAGAAGCTCAGCTTTATTTTCACTCTGATGTTTTACCCATAACAATATTTAAGGACCTTTGTCTTTAACAACAGCCTCTGCAAAGCTGAGCCTGGAGGTTCAAACACCTCCCTTGGGATTAGTTAATTACTATTTGAAAAATTTTGTTTGAATTTGCTGAAAATAGAGAAAATACAGTACAGGGTTGGACTGAGTTTTGAATGCTTTAAAATAGTCTGTTTAGAGGTTTATGATAAGCTTACCTGAGATAAAAGGAAGTGAACTTGAAGGAAAAAATGTAAAAATACAGCCTGATTAGCTGAATATTCCTGGTTTAGCCAGAAGTCTTTATATTTAAGCTGGGGAAAACAAAGCTGTGTTGTTCCAGGTGTAATGCCAGGCCAGGATAAAGCAGGAATGTGGATGCTGTGATTTGGGGCTCTGGATCAAAGGGTTTCTGGGATGCTTATCCTGGGTACAGACCATGGAGGTTGCATTAAAAAAGTCAGTCTGTGGGTCAAATTTGGAAAAAAAGTCAAATGGGAATCAACACTGGGTCAAATTTGGGAAAACCCCTTTCATGTGGGAATGAACACCTTGACTGGGAACACTGGAGGAGTGGAAATGTTGTGAACATTCTCCCTTTGCTAAACTTGGGGTGGATCTTCATGTCCCTCCCTGAAGCTGCTTCGCTGAATTTGGTAATTCCAGACTTCCTGTGGTTGGAAATGGATTGGAAATTCCAAATTCATTTTGGAAAGTCACCCTGGCATGATCCCAGTGTCCTGGGCAGGTGTAGGAGGGTTGGGACATCTCATGGCCAGGGCTCAGAGGCTCTGGAAGTGCAGGTGCTGTTTGCACCCCAAATCTGAGGGTAACTGGAGTTTCTCCCACTAAAATCCCAAGTTTGTTTTGCTGTGGCTCCCACATTGTGTGTGTGGGATTGTTCCATGGAACCAGTTTGTGTTTTAAGAGGAATTTGATACTTCCTGTATGTTGTAACACAGACACTCCCATTGCAGCAGTTCTTGCTTTATCTCCCCTTGCCTGGAAACTGGGACAATAGCACTGGGCCTGCTAAAGGAAACACTTTTTATCTGGAATTCTTCAAAATCCTCCTAATTGGTCACACCCAAAACCTGGCACCAAATGAGATGTTTCTTAGGAAAAGAAGCCAGGCTTGGGGAGCAACTGGAAGGAGTTGGGTTTAACCAGTCTGGAATTTGGCACATGGGGTCCTGCTCTGTGTCTGGGATTCAGATCCCTGCTCCTCCTCCCAGCTGAACAATTCCAACCTGCTGCTCCTCAGGCTGGAGGAGAAAAGTCTGGGCTTCTCTGGCTGTGGGTGGCAGATGATTGTTTTCAGCTTACAAATCGTTGATTAACTGTAGCAAATCAGTATATTTGGAACATTTTCTTTGGATGGTAATGAGCAGTGAGAAGGATATGAGTTTTCTAGGTGCATCCACCTGTTTAAAGTTCTCTTTTTTTCCTGACTCCCTGCTGCTGTTGATGGGGAAGCTGTTCCTGGTCCAGCTGCTGATAAGAGAGTGGAGCCTCAGGCAGTGTCCAATGTCAGGCTCCTGTTTCACCTGCCAGGGCTTGGTTGGAATATAGCTGGTTTTAGCTGGAATGTTTGGATCCTGTCCCTGAGAATTCCTGTAAGACAAAGATGAATTTCTGAAGGTGTGATGTGTCCATGGACAAAGGCAGTGAGGGGAGGGGGGTTCTGCCCCCGTGCCCAGCTGAGACCCCACCTGCAGAGCTGCCCCAGCCCCGGGACCCAGCACAGGAGAGAGTCCAGAGGAATCACCAGGATGATCAAAGGGATGGAGCAGCTCTGCTGGGAGGAAAGTCTGGGATTGTTCAGCCTGGAGAAGGGAAGGCTCTGGAGTGGCCTAAGTGTGGCTTCCAGGGCCTGAAGGAGCTGACAAAAAGATGGGGAATGACTATTTGCAAGGGTCTGGAGTGACAGGACAAGTGAGGATGGCTTCAAATTGCCAGAGGGCAGGAGTAGATGGGATATTGGGAAGAAATCCACCCTGTGAGGGTGGTGAGAGGCTGGGATGGAATTCCCAGAGAAGCTGTGGCTGTCCCATCCCTGGAAGCGTCCAAGGCCAGGTTGGACAGGACTCAGAGCAGCCTGGGATAGTGGAAGGTAGCTGCCCATGGCCGGGGGTTGGAACTGGATAAACTTTAGGTTCCCTTCCAACTCAAACCATTCCATGATTCCATACAGCTCATGGATTCCATGTCCATGTTCCTAAATGGATCACAGGATGTTTTTGGAACACTGCAATTAAAAAATAACTCTGAAAGACTTCAGCCCACTTGTTGGCTTTGCTGTGGCCGAGTGGCACCGGGGTCACTTTCCTGTGACTCATCTCCTTTGGGCTGTTTGGGGAAAGCAGAAGGGTTTTTAAAGCTCTTCTAATGGTCACTCTGATTTTGCAACACTACTGGAAGTGTTTTCTCATCCCCACATGAAAATGAGCAACTCTGCTTCAGTTTCACCATCTGTACAGATTAAGTTGCTGCAGATTTTTGCAGCCTACAAGGAACCACAGAGGAGTTGGGGAATGGTAATTCTGCTCTCAACTGGCCCTTTACTTTTCTGTGTTCTCCAGTGAGCTTGGGAAGTGGCTGCATTTGTGGAATATGGCTTGTGCTTCCTCTTTATCAGAGAATCCCAGAATGGTTTGGGTCAGAAAGGACTTTAAAGCTCACCTTGTTCCACCCCTACCATGGGCAGACACACCTTCCACTAAATCTCCCACTAAAATGGGATTTCTCGCTTTCCACACTGCCAAATGGGCTTTTTTCTGCTCTAGCTGGATTAGCCATTAGTCTGGATCAGTCCTTTGTTTCATCATTTCTTTCTCTAGTTTGTTGTTCCAGCCTGTAAAATCACACTTGGAGCACACTTTGTGTTGTCTGTGGACAGCAGGAATGAGGGAGCTGGGAAGCCTGGAGTGAGCTGCTGCAGAATGTCTCGTTTTCCCTCAGAAAAGGCCATGTTCCCTTTCCAGATTGAACCAAATGTTCAGACTTTTCTTCGTAATTCCATTCATGCAGAGCACACAGGGGCTGATTTAACCTACTTTCCTTATTTGTCCAAAATATGACTCCTTCCCCACAAGCGTTTCCTCGCTGCATTCCTGAGCCTCAGCCTGTGAGAGTGGCCATCTGTTCACTCAGGGAAACTCCAGCCTCAGCACTGCCTGACTTTTCCAGGCTCCAGCCTGATCCCAGCAGCGAGAGGTGAAGTGTGGATCCTGCACCCACAGCTTTGGTTTGTAGCTCTTTTCTTCCCTGGAGGAGAGAAGGCTCCAGGGAGACCTTGGAGCACTTTGCAGTGCCTAAAGGGGCTCCAGGAGAGCTGGAAGAGGGACTTTGGACAAGGACATGGAGAGACAAGACAAGGGGGAATGGCTTCCCACTGTCAGAGGCAGGGTTAGATGGGATATTGAGAAGAAGCTATTCCATGTGAGAGTGCTGAGGCCCTGGCACAGGGTCCCCAGAGAGGCTGTGGCTGTTCCATCCATGGAAATGCCCAAGGCCAGGTGGGCAGGGGTTTGGAGCAACCTGGGATAGTGGGAGGTGTCCCTGCCCATGGTAGGGGTGGGACTGGATGGGCTTTAAGTTCCCTTCCAACCCAAACCATTCCATGATTCTCCTCCCACCACGGTCCTAAGCTCCAGCTTAGGAGGTGCTGTGCTCTCTGCTCACGTTCCCTGTTCCGTCCTCACACTCCCAGTTCCATCATGTCCTTCACCAGTTTGCTCTGCCAATGCCTTTTGCCACATTCATCTCAGCTTGTCCTTACTGTGGCCTTCCTTGTCCCCAGGCTGGATCCTGATTGACCGCTGTGGGAAGCACTTTGGGACAATCCTGAACTACCTGCGGGACGGGGCCGTGCCGCTCCCGGAGAGCCGCCGGGAGATCGAGGAGCTGCTGGCCGAGGCCAAGTACTACCTGGTGCAGGGGCTGGTGGATGAATGCCAGGCAGCCCTGCAGGTGGGCACGGGGCTCAGGGGCAGCTGGGGGTGGGCAGCAGCATCTGGGCAGAGCAGGATTTTCTCCTGGTCTTCATGTGTTGGTTTTGGAGGCTTGGGTGGAAATGGGAATCTTTCGTGTTGCCATCTGCTGGAGTCTGTTCACATCTAGGAAAACCAGCTTCTTCCCAGAGCTGCTGGGAGTCCTGTTGTGTTATTTATTATGTTCTGAGGTTCCCATCTTGGGTTGATGCCACTGTCACTGATGTCCTGTCTGAGAGAAGCCTCATTCCAGATCCTGCTGTTTAACTGGGCACAGGACATTCAGTGGTGGAGAGCAGGAATAGACACCTCAGGTACTCCCAGAAGAATGGTGCCAGGCCAGCTACAGCCCAGAAATTACCACAGGGACAGACTGGACATTGCTTCCTCAGCAGAGATCATTCCCATAAAATGTGGGTGTGCTCTGGGATCTGTTGTCACTCAGCTGCTGTTTGGTTCTTGCTCCCACAGAACAAGGACGCGTACGAGCCCTTCTGCAAGGTCCCGGTGATCACCTCTTCCAAGGAGGAGCAGAAGCTGATTGCAACCTCCAACAAGGTGAGAGAGACTGGGATGTGCCACAGGGAGAGCTGGGGGTGCCCAGCCTAGAGAGAAGAAGGCTTTGGGGAGACCCCAGAGCTTCTTCCAGTGTCTAAAGGGGCTCCAAGAGAGCTGGAGTGCTGGACAAGGGATGGAGTGACAGGATAAGGGTGATGCCTTTAAGCTGAAGGGCAGGGTTAGCTGCGATTAGGAAAAAAATTCTTCCCTGTGAGGGTGGTGAGGCCCTGTCTCAGGTTGCCCAGAGAAGCTGTGGCTGCCCTGAATCCCTGGAAATGTCCAAGGCCAGGTTAGACAGGGCTTGAAGCAACCTGGGATAGAATAAAGTGTCCCTGCAGATAGCACAATCTGATAAAACAAAGGGAAGATAAGAATAGATGAGAATCCAGTCCCAGAAGGGATCAGGAAAGATTGCAGTCCCATTGCCAACCTATGCATCACAGGTTTGCAGCAACAGCAGTAACAACATTGAAATCCCACTGGGAATTTGTCATTGCAGCTTTTCCGTGGGGCCTTGGGCTGAGCTGAGGTTCCAGCTCTGGCTGTGGTCCCTGGAACTCATCTGTGCTTTGTTTCTTACAGCCAGCAGTGAAGCTGCTCTATAACAGAAGCAACAACAAATATTCCTACACCAGGTAAGTGACTTCAGCTGGAAGGGTTGGAAGTTTTTCATAGACTAAAATCCACTATAAAAGTTTCCTTTTTCTTCCTCCAGCCCCGATGACAGATTGGTGTTGGCAGGCATTCCATTTTTTCCCAATTAATTTCAAACTGTAGTCAGGAGGGAGTCTGCTGCCATCCATGGAAGGCTGAGCCTGTGCTATTTCTGTGCCAGAGGAGTTCCTCTAATCCTTAGGTGCAGCTGGCAGAGACTCCTGGCCAAGTGCTGTCTGCATTCCCATGGACTGCAGTGTGGTAGTTAAACACAGGGAGCTCAGTGAGTGGTGAAATCATCAAACTGGGGGCCTTGTCCTCTTTCCCTTATTCCCTTATAAGTTTCATGACATAACAGTGCCCATCCAGGGTGCTGAGCTCAGGAATGGTTTGATTTGGCTGGTAGGACTTTGCACCTGGGTGAAATGGCCTTAGACAGTTGTTCACAGGGTTGTTGCTGTTGTATTGGTGCTGCTTCAGGTTATCCTGCCTGTAGTGTTGAAATAATAAGAATTAATTTATTTGGTTTGCCCCATCCCTGGAAGTGTCCAAGGCCAGGTTGGATGGGGCTTGGAGCAACCTGAGCTAGTGGAAGGTGTCCCTGCTCATGTCACAGGGGGGTACTGGATGGGCTTTAAGGTCCCTCCAACCCAAACCATGCTGGGATTCTGTGGCACAGGAGTCTGGGCTCTCAGGGCTGTCAGTGCTCGCTGCTCCCACTCTTTCCATGTGCTCTGTAAATTCCTGCTGCTGCCTCCATTCCCACAGCAACTCCGATGATAACATGCTGAAGAACATCGAGCTCTTTGACAAGCTGTCCCTGAGGTTCAACGGGAGGGTGCTGTTCATCAAGGATGTCATTGGGGATGAGATCTGCTGCTGGTCCTTCTACGGGCAGGGCCGCAAGATCGCCGAGGTCTGCTGCACCTCCATCGTTTATGCCACCGAGAAGAAACAGACCAAGGTACAGGAAAACTGGGAATGCTCCAGCCTGGCACCCTGACAGCTGAGCAGGCTGGCACTTTGTCATTGTTCAGCGCTTCTGGAGGATAATCAGTGCATTGAGAGTGGGGCAGCAGCTGGAGCTCATCCTGGGGGCAGTTGGGATATTCCAAAAAGCCCTGTGGTATTCCATAATGCATCGTGGTATCCGTAATGTTCAGTCCAGCTCTGTTTTCAGACAAATTTGTGCATTTAACTACATTTGGGTTTGGGAGTTACAAGTAGATGACCTAGGGATGGAACTAAGTTGTCTTTAAGGTGCCTCCTAACCCAAACCATTTCCTGGCTCTACATCCCCATGTAATGAGGGATCCAGCAATGGAATACCTTCCCTGTATTCTTCCCTTTCTCAGGAGAGATCTGCCTGGTTCTGGCAAAAACCCAACTTGTTGGACTGAAAAGCTGGAAGCAAAAAGTAGAAAGGAGTAGAAAGGACTGTGCCTGAAAGGATTTCTGTGCCTGGGGTTCAGTTAACACTGGATGTCAGGAATCTTAACCACTCACTGCCTGCACTGAGTGACCTTCTCTTCCCTGCCTGCCAGGTGGAGTTCCCAGAAGCCCGAATTTACGAGGAGACCCTGAACATTCTTCTGTACGAATCCCAGGATGGGAGGGGGCCGGACAATGCCCTCCTGGAAGCCACAGGAGGGGCTGCAGGGCGCTCCCACCACCTGGAGGAGGACGAGGAGCGGGAGCGCATCGAGCGCGTGCGGAGGATCCACATCAAGCGCCCGGATGACAGGGCCCACCTGCACCAGTGAGCCTGGGGACCCCCACAGCTCTGGGCAAGGGGCTGCCCTGCAGCAGGATCAGGCAGTGCAACTCCTGTCCAGCACAGTCTGTAAATTGGGATTTGTAACAAACTCTAGGTTATTTGGGGTATTTAAATGCGGTAGTTGTAGGGCGAGGGTCAATGAGGTTACTGGGCAGCCTGGAAGGGCCTGTTGAGCAGCTGGAGAAATGCCCAGAATTTTTAGCACTCTTGTCGTTGCTGTTTTGTGCTGGAGAGAAGGAGGATGGCTTCCTGTGGCTTTGGTAATGATCCTGCACTTTAAAACCAAATCAACAAACAAAAGGTCAGCCAGCCACCCTCCTTCCCTCCAGGCACTCCCTGACCCTCCTGGGCTGGGGGGGAAGGCAGGGACCTGGACCCAGGGCTGCTGCACAGCTCCCTGGCTCCTGGGAGAGAGCTTGGGGGTGTCTTGGGTGACTCCCCAAAGAAAAATGGCACAGGCTGATGAGATTCCTGGAGTTCTGGGGGCAGAGGGATTCCTCAGAGCAGTGGGAGGGAGCAGGGGCTGCTCCCTCAGGTTCCCCGCAGCTCTCAGGATCTGTTCCTCCAAGGGTTCAGTGGAGCTTCTGCAGCGCTGAGCTGGGGACACCCATCCCTGTTTTATCCCTACAGTTCAAGGTTAAAATTCCTCCCAAAGGAGGAGAATCAGGAGCAAATTGTCCATGGTTGCTTTCCCTAAGAGTGGTGTTGGTACTGGTCAGTGCTTAGAGCTTCTGCCTGAGCCTGGATCTCAGCTGGGGGGTTGGTTTCCAGCAGCTCCCAGGTACCAGGAGTCACAGCAGGTTCAGTCCCCCCATGTTGGGGGGTGCTGGTGGGGGGCAGCAGCCCTGTTTCCCTTCTGGAGCTGATCCAGGAGAGTTGCCTTGTTCTGAGTGAGGGGAAACAGAAGCAGGCAGTGACCCAGAGGCAGATATTCCCTGTTTGACTTCATCCTGAGGCTGTTGCAAGTCCTCCCAGCCATGGCAGCTGTGTGTGGAAGGGCAGAGCATGGAGAAGGTCACTGCACTGTGGTTTTTTACGAGTGCTTTTCTCTTGTCAATGAATATTTTATCTACCTCCTTGTCTCTTGTTGCCTGTTGTGGAGTCAAGTGACAGCAGTGGTGGGAGGTGGGGTGTCATTCCATAGGGCTGGCAGCAGAGCTACAGCTGTGACAGTTCAGGTCACCAGTCCTGGGAGGCAGAGAAACCTGAGGTAGGAAGTGTTAAACTTGTACTGCAGCAGCACCCGTGGGTGACACCAGAGCACTCTGCCCTGGGCTAGAGTTTCTTTTGACCCTTTCTCTGGAATATTTAGCCCTGGCTTTAATAGCCATGCTCTGTGTTCCTGCTCCTGCCTCAGGGCTGCTAAGGACATGGGAACAGTGTAAAAACCAAAGGTGCTGCAGCAGCACCAGCCACGTTCTTCTGTTCCACAGAGCTCCTTGGTAGAGGCTGAAACACACCAGGAAGTGGCTGTACAGTTTTGGATCATCAATTAAAGCTCAAAGATTTCCAATTTAATCTGAGGCCATTTTTCTAGTAACCAAAGACTTCTCCACGTTGCAGGCAGCTGCTGGCTGTGGCAGGTGGGGTTGTTGTACCTGTCTCCTCTTTCTCCTGCAGCTCTTGATTGTTCACTGAGAGCTCCACAGTCTCCTTGGGGTTCAGCAGCTTCAGCTCTGTCCTGACACCTCAGGGCTTCCAGTTTTTTACTTAAACCTGTTTGCAGCACCCTGTAGGGCTGGAGCAGTGCAGAGGGGGAAGGAGCCAGTGCCTCTCCCCTCAGGGCTGGGATGAGCTGAGGGTGAGCCAGAAAAGTCCTGGATTGCTGTTTCTCCAGCACTGTGTGCTTTGACACTTGCTGGTGATTGCTGGGCTGTTTCTGGGCATCTCAGCATCTGGAGCAGCCCTGCTGCCCTTGGGGGTGGAGCTGTGTCTCAGCAGAGGGTGACCAGGGACCAGTCCTGCAGCAAGCCCTGCTCCTTCCAGCTGGGAGCTGCACTCCAGCAGGCTCCAACACAGCTCAGCTGTGCTGACCTGCAGACCCCAGACCAAATCCAGTCCTGTGGGGCAGAGCAGCTTCAGCCCCAGGAGGTGACAGCAGTACTAAGCACCTGACAGGTCACAGCTACGTGATTAACTTTTTTGTAAATAGATCCTTAACTGGCTTCAGGCTTTTCCCTTTCAGGTTATGCAAACTAAGTTCTTAAAAACCAGGGGAGGGCTGTTTTTAATCTTTGTACAGTGCTTTGTACAGCTGTTGGTTTAGCAAAGTCACTCCAGGAGGGTTAAAAGTTTCAATTTCAGTTTTGTTACTGCATTTGTGGGCAGACTCTGCCTTAACTCACTCCTGAGCTCACCCTCGGGGTGCTGGAGTGCTGCAGCCAAGCTGTGCTGTCCTGGGGCCTGTCCTTTACCTGCTGCCCCTGTCCTTGCTCTGGCACACCCTGGCCATGCCCTTGCACAAATGCTCTCAGCCCTGAGCCTCGTTACCCTAAGTGGTTTTATTCTGAGCTCTCAGGTGCAGCTGGGGCTCAGGGCAGGTGTCCTGGGCACAAGCAGCTCTTCAGATTATCCTTCCCTGCCTCCCATGCCAGCGAGAGCAGAGCTGGCTGCTTCCATCCTCCAGCACCAGCAGTGACAGCACAGCCCAGGGGAGCTGAGGAACGTCCCCTGGGGAAGGGATTTTGTCCCCTCCCAGCTCCTGACATGGGTGGGGCTGCACGAGGAGGGGACAGGGACCAGCCCTGGTGCCCCCTTCCCACCTCTCTCCCTGTAGCACCAAAGCAGCTGCTCCTGCATTTCCCCAAGGCAGGTTGGGATCCCCTGAGCAGCACCTGGGCAAGGCTCCAAGCTCCCACCCTACCTTAGAGCAAAGCATAGGTAGAACCTTTCAGTCTTCATGGAATTGTTTCATGGACAACAGCAAATTCCTGTTCTGTACAATCATTCCCACCCGTCCAGACTTCTGCACAGAACAAGCTTCAGCTGGATTTCAGTGTATGGTTGATGTTTGCAATATGTACTTTTGTTTTTGTTTTTGTTTTTTTTAATATAACACAATAAATTAGAAGATATTTCATATTTACATCTGTGTCACTTTATTACTTGCTTGGAGCTCGATGGCCTCATGGGCTGTGTGGCTGGAGGAACTTTTGGGATGAAATATCAGATCTCCATCCTAATTAATGTCAGTTTGACCTCCCAGCCCTCCCTGGGGGAGTGGCCCCAGCTGTTGGGATTCTCTCTGGTCAGTTTGCCTTGAGAAAAGTTGGGTTTAGACCTGGGTTAACACTGCTCTGCACTTCTTGCAGTGCTCCTGAGTAGTGATTCAAAGTATAGCTAGAGAAGCCTTTTGGCTTCTGTCCTAATCCTTCCTGATCTCTCAGAGGTAGAGATTTTACCTTGGAATTTTGGGGATTAATGTCCCTGTGAGCATGTAACAAGCATCTCCTTCTGGGAATGTTACAGCAACATCAGGGATTTTATTTATCTATAGTTGAATAGTTTTAAGCTATAAAAAAAGAAAAATAAAAGAGCCTAAAAGATGCAAACAAACTCTCAAATCACAGCAGCCCTATGGCATCAGAGATTCCAGGGGAGATGTGAGGGCTGGTCTCATCCTGCAGGCTCCTTTCTGTTCCCAGCCAAGGGAACAGGGACTGGTTCTCATCAAGATTTTCTCGGGGTTGACACCTGGGAGGAGAAGAGGAAGGAGCCATTAAATCAGGAATCCTCAAGGTGCTGGGAAGAGAGGTGATGGTGGAGTTTCTATTTGCCCATTGGTACATAGAGACAATTCCCTCCATCTTGTCTGCAGGATAGAGAACTCCACATGGAATTCTTCCTTGGAGCTTCAGCTCCTCAGAGGACCTGCTTGGGTGACAAGAAGTGCCTTCCCTCCATATCCCAACACATTTCAGACATAACTTGGTTGAGGGAGGCAACAAGAGGTGGAAAACATCCCCTGAGGCTTCATTTTGCTGGTGCACATTGAGGTTTGGTCAGACTCAATTCTCTAAGTGCCCACCCCAGGAACCAGCCTTGCTCCCCCCTCCCTGGGCCAATTCCTGCACAATCCCTGGAGCTGCAGCTCCCAGCCCTGTCGTGGATCACCTCATGCAGGTGACACTGACCGGGTGGTCACCTCCTGCTCTGGGAGGGGTCTCAGTCCCTCCTGGGCTCCCAGGAAGGTGGAGATCCAAAGGAGGAAGCACCAGGTGCTTCCCTGGGCTCAGCTGAGGCCTTACCACTGTGAGCTGCCCAGTTTTGTCCTTGAAGACCTGAGGCTCTGGCCCCACGGTGAACACCATGGTCCCCTCCTTCCCGGAGCCGACGCGGAACCTGAGGCTGGAAGCACAGAATGCCCCTGGAGAGCTCTCCCCACAAGAGGCTTTACTCTAAAACCCCTTTATTTCTGTTCCCTGGGCAAATCTCGTTAGAGGAGCAGATCAGAGCCTCCAGCTTAGGTGAATTTCCTAAACAATTGCATTATCCCAGTGAGCCCAAGGGGTTGATGAATGGAACGAGGCTGCCCAGCCTGGACTTTTGAGTGTTCCTGGCGCAATTAAGCACTGGAAGCTAAGCAGATCTGACCTGGAGGAAAGCACTGAGCACACCAAATCTAATTAGAGCTGAAATGCAAAGGCCAGGCTGAAAAGCTGGAGCAGAAGTGCAGGTTTCACCTGCCAGCTCCAATTCCCAGAGAGGCTGGAGACATGGACTGCATCCACCTGCCAGGAGCTCGGGGCTGGGACTGGGAGGAATCACATTTTGGGCCTCCTCAATCCTTCTGGGAGAGGAGCATTCGTCCTGAGGTGACCCACAGTTTCCCAGCTGGCTTTCCTGAAGCTAATGGGATCCCCTGTGGTACCACTGAAGCCATGACCTCATGCCCAGGTCACATCAGAAAACTGGAAAAAAAAAAGTGTGTTTAAAGTACAATCACCTAGAAATAAGTTGGGTTTAGACAGGTGAGGCATGGGCAGCTGTCAGAGCACAGCAGCAGTCCTAGCAAGGTACAAGGACTCATTAGCCTGGGAAAAAGGTTGGAATTCTTTTTAATACATTCTCCCTGTGCCTCTGGAAGTCACAAAACCAGAGATGCTGCTGCACCAGACCTGCCCAGCTTTGGGCACTGTCTGCTGGGGATGGATGTCAACAGTCTTGACCTAGTCCAGGCCTAAAAGGTTCTCCCATAAAATTGAGCCTGTCCAGTGCTACCCATCCGCTTTCCTGCTTTCCTTACCTTCCCTTCACCACTTTAACGAGGCTTTGCTTGTTGGCCAATATGCAGAGCTTGGTCACTGTCTCAAAGATGTGCTCACACTGCAGTATCACATCTCCCTGGAAACAAAAAAAGAGGGATAAAGTCACCTGGCATCACCCCAGCATGTGATGGTGCAGAGAAACTCCTCTGGGATGCCAGAGCAGTGACTACCAAACAGAAGTGACCAATTTAAACACCCTCTCCAGGGATTATTTAGGATTTATTTGGTTTAAAAAGAGGCAGAAGCATGTCCAGAGAAGGGGATGGAAATGGAAAGGGTATGGAGAATCAGCCACGGCAGGAGGGGCTAAGGGAGCTCAGTCTGGAGAAAAGGAGTCTCAGGGGGAATCTTCTCATTCTCCACCACTCCCTGGCAGGTTGGGATTCCAAGTGAAAGTTTTCGTGTTGAGACAGCGAGGATGTAAAGGCCTGGCTGATTGCACACTGAGCAAACGTCAGGAATTGTGACATTCCAGGAGTTTATAGGATGGTATTGGAAGCATCAGCCCCATGACCTCACTTGAGCCACCATCCCAATTTCCTACCTTCTGCTTGTTGTCCTCAGGAACGTGAATGACCACGATCCCATCGCTCAGGTTACTGGTGGAGATCCCTTCAAAAGAAACCCAAAATTAGAGGGAAACCTACCAAACCCAGCTCCACACCACCCTCAGCTCCTTCCCCCAGGAGAAGCAACCCCAGCCCCATGTGGTTACAGGGGAAATCACATTCCTGAAGGCGGGCTCTGTCCTTCCTAAGAATGAAGAATATTCCCATTCTTAGAGCCAAACACACAAAGTTCCTACTTTGATTAATTAATCTGAATTTTCAAAATATCTTTTGAAGGTCATTTTATGTCACCCGTTGTCCACAGCACAATTCCAGCAATGGTGATTTAAACCCCTGCAGGAGCTGTTTGCCCCAAACTTTTCCCTGGTTTTAGGCACAGAAGAGGGGGAATGATCCATTCTACCCCTGAACTGTAGTTCCAACAGTGCCAGGATTAAAAAATGTCCACAAACCAGAGCAGGAAAAGTTTGGGTTATTTTTTCTCCCTTCTATGTCAGTAGAAAGTGATGTCCTCCTGCATTTAAACATTTCAAGGAACTCTTACTCATAAAATCATCCTTCAAGGCTTTGCCCAGCCTCCAGGCAAAGAGGGACAGAGCATTCAAATATCTTTGCAAGACAAAGTCTCAGAATGCCATCCCTCCTAAAGGATGCCTGGCAGGACAGGAAACCCCACAACAACTCATAGAATCATCATGGAATGGTTTGGGTTGGAAGGAATGTTTAGGATCATCCCATTCCACCTGTCCCACTGGTCCAGGTTGCTCCTAGTCCCATCCTGCCTTGGAAGATGACTCCCACTGGTACCTTTCAGTGTGGAATACTCGATTTTCTGTTTGATCTTGGCCATCTCCACCACGTAGGCCGAGCTCTGGGTCAGCACCAGGAGCCGCTCCCGCGCCTTGAACCCGTTCCTGTCATATTTTATCACGGGGGTCACATACTGAAAACAACGAGTTGGAATCAGCATTTCCACTCTGCAAGCTCCTGCTCCAGGGGTTTGGATCTTCCTGACTGGAAGCAGCTCAGAGAGGAGCAGTTCTGTCCGTGGAGCTGCAGGTCCCAGCTCACAGGGATCTGGATTCCCTACCCTGGGAAATTCAGGAGGCAGAACCCTGGGAATGATGGGGCCCCTGTGCCCTCTATGCCAAAACCATGGGGAGTGCAGGGACACTCCAGCTCTGCTCCTGCCCTGGAAAGGGCTAGGAATGTTCTTTAAGTTTTCATTAAAAGGGATCTTAAATAAATTATAATTAGGTGTATTTTGAGATTTTTCTCTAATTTAAAAGCAAGGAAATGGCGGCTCTGTTGCTCTTCATCAGTCCCTGTGTGAGTAACCAGCTCCACGACTCCAGTGAAGGTAATTCCAAGAGTTCTGTCCTTCCCTTACCTTGATGATCTCCCCACGGATCAGCTGCAGCACTTTGGGGTTTAGGTCATTCTCTTCTGAGGAGCAAACCAGAAAGAGAAACTGGGTGTGGGTGCCAGAGCCACAGTCCCAGACAGACACTCCCCACCCCCAAGCAAACTCCAGAGAGCTGGTTTAGCTGTTGTCATCCCAACTGGCTTTTTCCCTTTGGAATGCTTCCTTCCAAACTGAGGGTGGTCATCTCCAGCTGCTCCCAAACCCATTTTGGTGACTTTTCCTGCCTGACAAGTAAATTCACACCGGGAGTTTCTGCCTGTTCTTGAGTGTGCTGTTGGTTCAGACCCTGGTCCATTCCACCCCACAAGGAATTCTGCTCAGGTTTATGGTTTTCTGTCCCAGAGGAATCGCAGTACCCCCAGTCTGAGAACAATCCAGCAGTGATGTCACGTCACCCGATGTGACAGGGAGGCACTCCAATGGCAGGTGATGCTGCCTCTGCCAGGAGGGAATTCCTCTTGGAAAAGAGTCTGTTTGGTCAGGCAGGGATTTACAGAGCCAGGGCTTTGCTGAACTCACTCAGGCGGGTCTCCAGGAAGGGCTGGCTGAGGCTCTCCAGGTACCCCTCCTTCTTCCCACTGAACACGGCGCTGGTCACCACCTTCTGCTGCAGCTGTGGGAGAAGGAACAGCCTTTACCCTCAGAATTCCACCACTGGGAACACCAGCAGAGACAATGCAAACACTGCTACTCCACAGCATCCTTCTGCTCACACCCTGCCCACCTGACTCGTGGAATCTTAGAATTGTGCTGCTTTTCTTCTGGCAGCATTGGGTTATTCTGATGTTACCCCAAATGAGGGGGCAGCAGGGAAAATCCTACC